AGGTCTACGATAACACTTGACTTTATATAATAAGCTTCTCTAAAATGAAACGGAGTTCAGATTCCTACAGCACTCCAGAGGCCCAAAAAGCTCTGAAAAAGGAAAGGGAATGGCTAGGAAAATTTATTTTATTTTATTTATTTATTTGAATTTCTATACCGCCCTTCTCCTTTCGGACTCAGGGCGGTGAACAGCCAGATAAAAAACATCTATACAAACATCACAGTTAAAAAATAAAGTTAAAATAATTTATAAATTTGGCCCATAATTTAAAACTTGTCAATTTAAAATAAATATTAAAATTTTAAAACTAACCCTAAAATCAGGACAGACCGGCTAACTGAAAAAAATAAGTTTTTAGGGCCCAACGAAAAATCCGGAGGTCGGAGATCACTCGTATCTCTGGGGGTAGATTGTTCCATAGGGTAGGTGCCACCACAGAGAAGGCTCTCCTCCTGGGGGTCGTCAGCCGGCATTGTCTGGCCGACGGCACCCTGAGGAGGCCCTCTCTGTGGGAGCGAAATGTATAGAATAGAATAGAATAGAATAGAATAGAATAGAATAGAATAGAATAGAGTAGAGTAGAGTAGAGTAGAGTAGAGTAGAGTAGAGTAGAGTAGAGTAGAGTAGAGTAGGGTAGGGTAGGGTAGGGTAGGGTAGGGTAGGGTAGGGTAGGATAGAGTAGGATACGATACGATACGATACGATACGATACGATACGATACGATACGATACGATACAATACAATACAATACAATACAATACAATACAATACAATACAATAAGATTTAAAATACTCTGGTATGGAATTAAAAGACAGAGAGGAAACAGATATTATAAGATCTGGAGCGTATGGTATAGAGGGCTTGAAACTAGACGTAAAATTAATGCATAGAATATATATAGAAATCCTGTTAAAGGGAAAACTGTATACATTTACGAATATGAGCAAAGACGTTAATAAGTATAGTTAAGATATAAAGAATTTATAAAATGCATATTAGAGGTGAACAATTGTATAACATAGTAAAAGGTTTTACGTATTTAGATGTGTAAATACAGAAATTACATAAATGTATAATACAAACGGCCGTAAATGGAAAATATGTCATTAGAATGGATACCGATAACGGAATGCTGTAAAAATGGAAATGTGATTTTAAAACTAAAATAGCTGAATAAAGATTGTTTAAAAAAATAAAAAATAAAAAGTAAAATGCTCCAGTATCAAGAATTAATAAATGGTCCATAGCTAACCTTAAACTCTCCTATTCTATACATTGCTGCAGATAATTGAACTGTTAATGCTACAACGTAGAATTTGTCTCTCCTAAAGAAACAGAACAACAGAGAAGAAAAACTGATATGTTCTTTTCCATTGACAGCACGGTGGTTCTGCTGTAAACCACTGCCCTCTAACTGTAACATGACTTATTTTTTCCCCTTCTAAAACAGTTTAAAGTAAAACTTATTTTCTACAGCTAGTCCTTGACTTATAGCCATTTGTTTAGTGGCCATTCGACATTACAACAGCACTAAAAAAAGCGACTTAGGACCACTTTTCACACTTAAGACCGTTGTGGCATCCTCCTGGTCACGTGACCAAAATTCGTACGCTTGGCAACTGACTCTTATTTATGACGGTTGCAACATCCCAGGGTCACACGATCCGCTTTTGCGACCTTCTGACAAGCGAAGTCAATGGGGAAGCCGAATTCACTTAACCATCGTGTTACTAATTGAAGAACGGCAGGGATTCAGTTAGCGACCGTAGCAGGAAAGGTCGTAGAATAGGGCAAAACTCACTTAACCACTGTCTCGCTTAGCAACATAAATTTTGGGCTCAGTTGTCGTAAGTCAAGGACTATGCATGTCTGCAAATTTAAAACCATAGCTTTTCTCCAAAGTTCCAAATTCACCTCTCCAAATTTTCGTGGTGCTGAGTTCTCTAAACTGGAGCTGCCTAACTCTGTTGACGCAGTGGCTCAGTGGCTTCGATCGAAAGGTTGGCAGTTCTGCGGTTCGAATCCCTAGTGCCGCGTAACGGGCTGAGCTCCCGTTCCTTGTCCCAGCTTCTGCCAACCTAGCAGTTCGAAAGCGGGTAAAAAATGCAAGTAGAAAAATAGGGACCACCTTTGGTGGGAAGGGAACAGCGTTCTGTGCGCCTTTGGCGTTGAGTCATGCCGGCCACATGACCACGGAGACGTCTTCGGACAGAGCTGGCTCTTCGGTTTTGAAATGGAGATGAGCACTGACCGGCCCCTAGAGTCGGGAACGACTAGCACATATGTGAGAGGGGAACCTTTACCTTTACCTCTGTTGGGACTCCCACTCCCATTTGCCTAAACGTGTTGGCTCAGAATGATGGGGTCAGTAATCAAGGCATGGGGTACACGAGAATCAGAATAGATGCTCTGTTCTTCAAAAAGAGGGATTCAAAAGGTTCCTGAGACTTAGAGCTCAGTAGATGGTGACCTCAGGATCCATTCTGATCCAAACTGATTCTACAAGTAAGTTCATTGAATTGATTGATTGACTGATTGACAGAAAAGTAGGTTGTTAATATTTGATTTTTTTTAAAAAAGAAGCAATCTGGAATAGAGACAGATTCTTATGGATTATTTTTATTTATTAGCTTTACATGCCGCCCATCGTGTCTGGAGGCCACCTCCCATTTTAGATATGTTTCATCTCATTTAGACTTAGACTTAAAACTCAGAATAACTTTACTGTCCCTTTGAATTGTAGGAAGTTAGCACCCACCCCTCTCCTAGGAAAATGAAATATTCTAGGAAATATTAAAAAGGCAGAATATTATATTTCCCTGATTGAGAAATGGAGAAGCATGTTTTTTAGGCAGGAAACAGACTCACTCTTAATAGCCCCCCACACTCTCAATAGCCCACAGCAGATGTCAGCGCTTAAGAGATAAAGAGATAGCTAGGTCTATTCATAAGCAAATGCCCTCACCGAAGATCCAACAAGGAGCCTTGGTGGAGCAGCGGATTAAAGTGCTGTTAAGTAGCACTTAGCTGCCAGCTGCCTGCAATTACTGCAAGTTCAAATCTCACCATGCTCAAGGTTGATTCAGCCTTCCATCCTTCCGAGGTAGGTAAAATGAGGACCCGGATTGTGGGAGCAATAAACTGACTTTGTATAAAAAAGAATACTGCTTGGGAGGGGTGGGCGAAAGCCCTACTAAGTAGGTATATACAAAAGTATGAAGGCTATTGTAAAGTATGGGCTGGCCTAAACATTAATTTTAATGGGTTGTTTTAGTTTTTTAATGATATCGGGGCCAAATTATTTAATATGTTTTTTAAATTGCTTTTAATTTTATATATGTGTTTGTTTTATTTTTTGGCTATGCACCGCCCTGAGTCCTTCGGGAGAAGGGCAGTATAAAAATTAGATTAAATAAATAAATAAAAATAAATATTGCTTAACGCATTGTAAGCCGCCCTGAGTCTCCGGAGAAGGGTGGCATATAAATCGAACCAATAAATAAATAAATAAACAAAGGTAGGATTAGCCCTCTACCCATCTAGCAACAATACTCACCACACGGCACCTGGGGAGATTGCATCACCCAGCAAGGCTCAACCAAGCCTGGGACTCAAAAGACAACTTACAAAGTTATCTCTGCATTGCCCCATGGGAGTCTGACAACCAATCAGAATGCAAGTTCAAATTCAAAAGCCCAGAGAGGGTATAAAACTCGGGCACTCTCAGCATCTCTTCCCTTTTTAATTCTTCAACCAACATAATCAAGGCACGTGGTCCTGTCCACATGTTTCCAGTGTCTTTTTCCCCACTTGGAACTGAACCCAGGTGGACATTTCTTCCCACAGAATGTGCACTAATCGGCATACATTAAAAACAAATTTCGTTGTGAACCTTTTAACAGCAGCTAAAATTGTATTTGCAAAAAATTGGAAAGGAGGAAGGACACCTACTGATGGAAGAAATTATTAAGAAAATGATGGACTGTGCTGAAATGAGTAAATTGACATTTGAAATAAGAGAGCAGGAAGATAAACAATATTATTTGATATGGGATTTATTTTATCAATGGATGAACAATAAAAAAAATGGAGATAAACATGAAATATGTGGATGCTGAAATAAATTAAGTGAATTTCTTTTTTATATATATATGAAAATAACCTCAAAATAGTGGTATATTGAAGAGAGGACGGAGCACAAAAGGACACAAAGCGATCGATATACTGTCTGTAACTGTATGGAATGATGGTGTTTTTATGTTTTATTTTTGTTTAAAAATTAGTGTTGCCAGCTGTCCACTATTTGAGTGGCCAGTCCGCTTTTTTCACATTATGTTCACTATTTTTTTTCACAAAATAGTGGACATTTTTTTGATTCAAAAGCTTTATGATGAAATTAAAATGTAATTTAATATTTTACATATTATTATAATATATTTGATGTTTTGAATTTTAAGTAAAGTTTTGAAGTGATTATTTTAATACGTGTTAAAATGTTTGTAAGAAAATATATAATTTAATTGCAATTTTTTTTTTTTACTACTTAACCCCCCCCCCCCCTCTATTTTTTGGAAGCAGACCTGGCAACTCTAATAAATAAAAAATTATTTGGGGGAAAAAAACACAAATTTCGTTGCGTACAGCTCTCAAAGGGTCACCACCCCCAACATACACTAGGTAACCATGACAGAATGAATGAATAAATGCAAAATTATGCCTATATCTACATATATTATATTACTTCACAGTATGGTAAAGTTAGGAGAAATGTTAAAAATATATCTGATCTGCAAAAGGGAAAGGGAGGGAGGGGAAGAGAATGGGTTGGCTCTTGGCTGCCATCTAGCGGTCGGGACTTTTGTAGCTAACGCCGCAGTTTCCGCTCGGCGTACATTTCCCATCGGGCTTTGAGGCCAGAAGAAGGGAGAGGAGAAGAACGCCGGTCCGATTAAAAACTACATTTCCCAGAGAGCCACGGGGTTCCAGACCGGAAGCCACTTAAAAAAAAAAAGACTTGCTTTGGGTGTCTTTTGATGTAAATTCAGCTTTTCCAGCAAGAAGGCGGTGGGAAGATGTTGCAAATGAGAACTTCAAGGGTTGTGAGTCTGTTGCTGCGGGACGTCCACAACTGTTCTGCACGGTTCAGAGGTGAGACAACTTTTAAGTCTCTTAACCAGGAATGCTTGCTTAGCTTTGCAATCTGATATAAACCAAGAAAGCGAGTGTGTTTCGCCTGGGTTTATTATTCCCAAACGATGCTGCTGTTTGGTTTGCTAATTTCTCCTAATTATATCTGAGAAATATGCTGAAATGTTACCTCTGAGATTAACCATTTCTATTGGAACAGAATCAAACCTGTGTTAAAACTACTTTTTAAAACTCAGTTTAGATATATATTAGTTTGCATTTAGTTCTCTCTCATGTATGTATGTATGTATGTATGTATATGTTTTCTGAGGTTTTCGCGGGTGTTTGTATGTAGGTCTTTGGTTATTCGGGTTTTCTCCCGCGTAAAATTGGAAGTGTCTTGGCGACGTTTTGACGAAGTCTCATTCGCCATCTTCAGGCTGGTGTTTTCGGCTTCGTGCTTCTAGAAGCAATGTGTGATTGCAGCTGTTTCTTCCTTTTAATTGCCAGTGGGGGTGTGAACTGATTGGGTGGGAGTTTGGCTGTGTTTTGATTGGGTGGAGGTGTGTTCTGATTGGTTGGGGGTTTGGCTGTGCTCTGATTGGATAAGATAGACCTATCTTTTTGGATAATAAGATTGATCTATTTCGGATTATTTCGGTCCGAAATAGATCTATCTTAGTCTCCTTAGTCTCCCAATGGGCAGCAGAGTGTTTGCTGGCTGTCAGAAAAAAAAGCCTAGAAACTAGTGGATTGTGATTTCACTGAACTAGGGCTGCATAAAAATCTTGGTTTACGTAGGAAGAACCTGGCTAAAGAGAAATACACATAAAGCCTACGAAAATGAAAGAATAGATAGATAGATAGATAGATAGATAGATAGATAGATAGATAGATAGATAGATAGATAGATAGATATAGTGTTTTTCTATCGAGACACCTGGTCTTCCCCAACATGTGGGAGGGGGCATTCTGCTCCCTTTCGCCTTTCAGTTCCAATCCAGGAGCCCTCAAGCAGTCGCATTTTATACCAAACCATTTTATACCAAATTTATATTTTGCTGATAAAGAAATAAAGGGAGACTAGTATAGATCTATTTCAAGCTTTTTAGCTTTCATCAGCTAGCCATACCCTTACTCGGATTCGAACTTGGGCTTCCTGCATGATAGGCAGTTAAATTAACCCTCTGAGCCACAAGTTCTCCTCCCTTCATCAGCTTGAGCCAGGGGAAAGATTTAAGTGTTTTTCTATCGAGACTATATATATCGAGAATATATATATATTCTATCTCTATTTCTAACTATATCATCTACTGTATATCTCTTTATATATATCTATCTCTATCAATCTCTATCTATCTCTATCATCTTTATCTACTATATCTATATATCAGTCTGCCTATCTTTCTATATGATATAGGATCTCCTGCTTGAGAAGGGGGATGGACTAGAAGACCTCTAAGATCCCTTCCACCTCTATTCTGATTCTGATTATCCTGATCTGTCTGTCTGTCTGTCTGTCTATCTTTCTATATGATGTAGGATCTCCTGCTTGAGAAGGGGGATGGACTAGAAGACCTCTAAGGTCCCTTCCACCTCTATTCTGATTCTGATTATTCTGATCTATCTATCTGTCTATTTATCTATCTACAGTATATATTGAAAGGCAACAGATATATATAGAAATGCTATATGTATGTATATGTGCATATATAAATGCAAGAAAAGATGGGGGTGTGTTGGTGCAGTTCACCTGTCAGGGTAATCCCTCAATTGGCTTCTTTTATTTTGGCTCAAAGAGTCATGGGGAAATCTGGGCGTTGAAGTCCACACACCTTAAAGTGGCTGAGGTTGGGAAACCTGGCCTTAGAAGATGATCAAATCTTATTTGACCTAAGCAGACAATTCAACTTTGCCACCCTTCTCAGGTTTTGCTTCTTCGGCCTCAGTGCAGTCCTACGATATGAGAAGAGTCGAAATCACGCCGCTGGAGCAACGGAAACTCACCTTCGACACCCATCGTCTGGTGCGAGATCTAGAAGCCCACGGTGAGCAAACATCTCCAGTGAAAAGTGTCTTAAGTTTAGTTTAGTTTAGTTCATTGTCACTGCATCTCGTACAATGAAATTACCGTATTTTTCGGAGTATAAGATGCACCTTTCCCCCCCCCCCTAAAAGGGGGTGAAAATTTAGGTGTGTTTTATACCCCGAATGTAGCCCCGCCCACCCACTGGCCCCCACCCTTTGGCTTCTGCCTCCCAGCAGTTTACCTCCTTGCAGCAAGCAGCAAGAAGAAACAGCTCCTTTCAGCTTCAGCACAGCCTAATTAGCACAAGTTGATTGGATCGGCCTCCCGATTCTCAGCTGTTTTGCTCTCAGCTGTTTTGCAGGGGCCTCTGCTCCTTGCTGCAAGGAAGAAAATTGCTGGAGCAGATTTTTTTTCCCCCTTGTGCTAATCAAGCTATGCTGAAAACGAAAATGAAGTAAAGCAGGCTGTTTGCTGTTTGCTGCACAGAGGCAAAATTGCTCAGAGGCAGAGGGAGATTTCTTTTTCTTCTTTTCCTCACCAAAAAAGGTAGGTGCGTCTTATACTCCGAAAAATTAAATTAAGAGAGCTTTCATCCATGCAATAGCAATAGCTCTTAGACTTAGACAGGTAGTCCTCGACTTACGACCACAATGGAGCCCAAAATTTCTATTGCTAACGGAGACATTTGTTGAGTTTTGCCCCCTTTTACAACCTTTCTTGCCACCATTGTTAAGTGAATCGCTACAGTTGTTAAGTTAGTAAGCCCGTCGTTAAGTGAATCTGGCCTCCCCATGGACTTTGCTTGTCAGAAGGTCGCAAAAAGGGGATCACGTGACTCCGGGTCACAGTGCAACGGTCATAAATAGGAGTCATTTGCCAAGCATCCGAATTTTGATGACGTGATTGCGGGGATCCTGCAAAGGTCTGAATTGTCATCAAATGATTGTGAGGATGCTACAGCAATCAAAAGTGTGAAAAACGATCATAAGTCACTTCTTCAGTGTCGTCATAACTTCGAATGGTCGCTAAACGAACTGTTGTAAGTCAAGGACTACCTCTACAGCTTTCTTGTCAGTATCATGGTACTTAGTTTCCCATCGTTGTCTTCTAGAATGTTTCTCACCTTTCTTGTTTCCCAACTTTCTTGTCTAACTCATCCTGGGATTCCTTGGTTGCTTCCCATCCAAATCCTAACCAGTCCTGTCCCTGCTTAGCTTCGAAGCCCTAACAAGGTCCCTGCGGTATTGCCACCCACTCCCTTACAAACATGAAGATGGCGTTGAGAACAAATAGTATGAAACCTTATATGGATTACTAGAAGTATAAGGGAAAAATGGGGTTCTGCTTTACAACTTCTTAACACGAACTCTGAATTCACTAGACCAGGGGTGTCAAACTCAAGGCCCACACTCAAAGATGTGATCGGATACGACCCACAGGGCCCAAACTCAAGGATGTGGTCGGATCCGGCCCACAGGGCCCAAACTCAAGGATGTGGTCAGCCACATGTTTACTGGACCCGTGTCCCTCCTGGTTGGTGCTGGCCTCTCGGGAGGTTACACGAGGCTGGCTCCAGAGGATTATAAATGCTTCCTTGAGTGAGGGTGTCTTCCCTGCTGCCTTGAAAGAGGCGGTGGTGAGGCCTCTCCTCAAGAAACCTTCCCTGGACCCGGCAGTGTTGGCAAATTATCGTCCAGTCTCCAACCTTCGCTTCGTTGCGAAGGTTGTTGAGAGTGTGGTAGCGCGACAGCTCCCCCAGTACCTGGATGAATCGTCGTATCTGGATCCGTTCCAGTCGGGCTTCAGGCCTGGGTACAGCACGGAAACGGCATTGGTCGCGTTGGTTGATGATCTCTGGAGGGCTCGGGACAGGGGTTGTTCCTCTGTCCTGGTCCTATTAGACCTCTCAGCGGCTTTTGATACCATCGACCATGGTATCATGCTGCACCGGCTAGAGGAGTTAGGGGTGGGGGGCACCGTCCTACGGTGGTTCTCCTCCTTTCTCTCTGACCGGTCGCAGTCTGTGTTGACGGGGGCAGAGGTCGACCCCGAGGCCCCTTGTATGTGGGGTGCCACAAGGGTCGGTCCTCTCGCCCCTTCTGTTCAACATTTATGTGAAGCCGCTGGGTGAGATCATCCGTGGTTTCGGGGTGAAGTACCACCAGTACGCTGATGATACTCAGCTGTACATCTCCACCCCGGACCACCCCAATGATGCCCTTGAAGTGATGTCCCGGTGCCTGGAGGGCCGTGCGGATCTGGATGGGGGAGAAACAGACTCAGGCTCAACCCATCCAAGACCGAGTGGCTGTGGTTTCCGACATCCCGATATAGTCAGTTGGTGCCATCACTGACTATTGGGGGCGAGTCACTGGCCCCCACGGAGAGGGTTCGCAACTTGGGTGTCCTCCTGGACTCACGGCTGTCTTTAGAAGAGCACATGACGGCCGTGGCCAGGGGGACTTTTTATCAGGTCCGCCTGATTCGCCAGTTGCGTCCCTTTCTGGATCGGGACTCGTTAAATACGGTCATTCATGCTCTCGTTACTTCCCACTTGGACTACTGCAATGCTCTCTACATGGGGCTCCCCTTGAGGAGCACCCAGAGGCTCCAGCTGGTCCAGAATGCGGCCGCGCGGGTGGTTATGGGAGCGACGTGGCGCTCCCATGTGACCCCCCTCCTGCGCGAGCTGCACTGGCTCCCGGTGGTCTTCCGGGTGCGCTTCAAGGTTTTGGTTACCACCTTTAGAGAGCTCCATGGCTTCGGACCGGGGTATCTACGAGACCGCCTTCTGCTACCAATTAGCCTCTCACCGACCAGTACGCTCCCATAGAGAGGGGCTCCTCAGGGTGCCGTCGGCCAAACAGTGTCGACTGGCGGCCCCCCAGGGGGAGAGCCTTCTCTGTGGGGGCACCTACCATCTGGAACGAGCTCCCCCCAGAGATACGGAAGATCCCGGACCTGCGCACGTTTCGCCGTGCTCTCAAAACTTTTCTATTTCAGCAAGCTGGCCTGGCCTAACTCCCATCTTTTAAATTTTTAAATTTTTTAATTCGTGATTTTATAAATTGGGTGTTTTAATCTGTGTTTCGGCCGAATATTTAATAATTTTAAGGGATTTTTTAATATTTGTATTATCTGTATTTTATCTTGGCTGTTCACCGCCTGAGTCCTTCGGGAGTAGGGCGGTATAGAAATTTGATTAATAAATAAATAAATAAATAAACTTCTTAACACAAACTCTGAATTCACTAGACCAGAGGTGTCAGACTCAAGGCTCACAGGATGTGGTTGGATCTGGCCCACGGGGTCCAAACTCAAGGATGGGTCGGATCCAGCCCACAGGGCCCAAACTCAAGGATGTGGTCGGATCTGGCCCACAGGGCCCAAACTCAAGGATGTGGTCGGATATGGCCCGCGGGGCCCAAACTCAAGGATGTGGTCGGATATGGCCCACAGGGCCCAAACTCAAGATACGGTCAGATCCTCGAAAACGTAAGGGGCCAGCGCACGTCACTTCGGTCCGGTCTACCCAATGCGAAGAGGAAACATGCCAGCAATTTGGGGAGTAGCGTCAAGATGGCCACGCCCACCCAGCTGGCCACACCCAGTGAATGTCGTCAAACTGGCCACACCCACCCAGTCAGCCACACCCACCCAGCCCCCAAGGTCAACCACAGCCCTGAAGCGGCCCTCAATGAAATTGAGTTTGATACCCCTGCACTAGATTATGGTGAATTTTATATACTCCACAGGATTTGCAAAAGAACAGGCTGAAACGGTCGTCTCAGCATTAATGAGTTTGTCAGCGGTCAGCCTGGATACCGTCTACAAGGATATGGTAACGCAAGCCCAACAGGTAACCAACCGATGGTTATTCCCTCGGTTGCATCACTTTTTATGGCCATTCATATAAGTAATCCTCGACCTACAACCACAATTGGAACCAGGATTTCTGTCGTTAAACAAGACGGTGGCTCAATGAGTCGCCCTTGATTTTATGACTATTCTAACTATGGTTGTTAAGCGAATCGCTGCAGTTGCTGAATGAATCATGTGGCTGTTAAGCGAATCTGGCTTCCCCCACTGACTTTGCTTGGCCGGAGTCCGGCAGGGAAGGTTGGGAATGGTGGGATCACGTGACACACACACACCCTCCCCAGGATGCCGCATCCATCGTAAATACAACCATTGTGATGGTGGAGAGGTTGCAACAGTTGTAAGCGCTAAGTCACTCTCTTCAGAGACTGTTGTATTTTCAAACGGCCATTAAACGAATTATTGTCTTCATAATTCTTTAGGCAATGCATATCTTAAGGACAGACTTGTTCTCCCAAGTTAGAAACCAGTTGCGTGTTGCAGGGATATTTTGAGCTTTTAGATTTTCTGCTGCCTTACCAGGAATTTAAGGTTGATAATACAGGGATCAGGGGTGAAATCCAGCAGGTTCTAATAGGTTTTGGAGAACTGGTAGCGGAAATTTTGAGTAGTTCGGAGAACCGGCAAATACCACCTCTGGCTGGCCCCAGAGTGGGGTGGGAATGGAGATTTTGCAAAATCCTTCCCCCAGGAGTGGGGTGGGAATGGGGATTTTGCAAAATCCTTCCCCTGCCACGCCCACCAAGCCACACCCACAGAACCGGTAGGGGAAAATGTTGGATTTCAACCCTGATGGGGATCACCCTTTTCCTATAAAAATGTATCGACTAAGAGAAAGTAAGGTAAAGATAAAGATTTCCCTGTCCAGCTGTGTCTGCCTTTAGAGGGCGCTGCTCATCTCTGTTTCTTGGCCGAGGGAGCCAGCATTGTCCCAAAACACTTCTGTGGTCATGTGGCCAGCATGACTGTATGCCAAGGCACACAGAACACATTGAAATGGTACCTATTTATCTACTTACATTTCAGGCCCACTGAAATGGTACCTATATATCTACTTGCATCTGCATGCTTTCAAACTGCTAGGCGGGCAGGAGCTGCAGCAAGGAACGGGAGCTCACCCCGTCGTGCGGTGCTGGGGTCTCAAACCCGAGCTGTCAACGGCCCCAAGAGAAAGTGATTGATCCTAAATCATACTCTGAGTTAGCTCAGATCGGACTTGAACCTTGGTCTTTCCACTCCAAACACAACACTTCTGAATTGTTACACTTTTGGCAGTGAGATGGCCTTGTAAAAATGTCGCCCGCAAGGGAACCGTTAGAAGTGCGCAAAACATTTTGACATCTAATTAGATTAGATCATCATCATTTAACGATCCCATAATCCCTTGCAAGGTTGAGTTTGGGCAACTGAATGGAGCTTAGCAGAACGTTTTAATGGCCGGATGCCTTTCCTGTCGCCAATGCGGAGCTTTGTTCAGCAGATATATTCTCATTGTGCCCAGAGAGAGAAATATCTGCCTCTACCTAGGATCGAACTCACAGCCTCCTGATTGTGAGGCGAGAGTTCCACCTCTAGGCCATTGCACCACTCTCATCTAATTAGATTAGATATGTGCCTTAAAAAGAATGTGCATGTATATAGCTGTATATGTGCATATATAAGGTACAAATACAGTGTATGAAGTTTGCCACTGTTTCCCCAAAATGTTCAATCAAATGCATTGTCATTTCACAGAACATTCTTCCGACATATTCCCATCTCTGGGAAAAGAAGGAATATTTAAGATGCCTTGCAACATTTTGTGTGTGTGTGTGCGTGTGTAATTTTATATTTTATGTTTTAGGAAATAACTCTGCAACAGATAATGTTTCACCTGGATTCTATTCGCAAGGATATGGTCCTTCTTGAGAAGAGCGAATTTGCCAATTTGAGAGCAGAAAACGAGGTATTCTCTCCCCCACAAAAAAACCTTGCCCTGTTGTGGCCCATACACGACCTGTGCAGCTAGTAGCTGATTCAGACAGCGAGGAGGCTGGTGTGGTGCTGCGCCAGCAGCCTGTGCAGCTGGCACTCGAGTCAGACAATGAGGCTGGAGAAGATGTGGTGCCAGAGGCAGGGATTCAGCCAGGGCCTTCAGAACCTCCAGAAGCTCCTTTAAGTGAAGAGGACGAAGAGGAGGAGCCTCTTCTCAATGCATGGGCGCGCAGAGCTGCCAAAAGGCAGGAGTGGCTCCTCAGGAGGAGGTCTCCTCGAGAGTAAGGCTTGGGGCTAATTGGCCACTCCCTTAGCCTATTTAAGGAGAAATGCCGACTGAAGCAATTTGCAGGGAACAACTTCGTTCACATACCTTTGTGTCTTGTCTTGCTTATCTTATCAGCTTCCTGCAAATTGCTTCTGGGCATTCTGCCAACCACAGTAAGCTTTCAGTATTATTCTTTGAATTCTTGGCGGCTGTTAATGCACTTAATTAACAGCCGTTGTTGTAAAAAACTGGTTTATTTTAGTAAATTAAGGTTTGAATGGACTTTGTGTGTGCTGCATTCTTTGGGGTCCGTAGCTGGGGCAGTCCCTGAGCTGTATTTGTTTAGCTTGTGAAGATTTTCTGCAAATTTGACAATTTTCAGGTTTTATATGTTAGGTGCAGTGTTTCAAATTCAGTCCCAAACGGGAGCTGGTGAGGACGTGAATGGGATGGCTGGTTGCAGCCCTTTAAAGCAGCTGCATCATGGCTCAGATATATGTCAATGAAAGTTATGGCGGTGAAAGTTAATGTGCATATTTTGCTGTTGCAGCTCCTTTATACCATCCGCTGTTTCTCTGCTTTCTTCCTCTCTTCCTTAGAAAATGAAAATTGAATTGGATCAAGTTAAACAGCAACTAATGGTAAGTAGACCAGGAACAGCCAAGGAACATTCAGTTTTAGGATGGAGCTTAAATCTGCTTTTAAAAATAATTGTGGACGATCTTTTCAACGAGGTGTCCTTGGTGCTCTCTGAGTTTGGTGTTTTTTTTCTTTCTTGCAGATGTTTCGTTACCCAAACTAGGTAAGATCATCACTAGCATTGATAATGTTACTTAGTTTGGCTAATGAAACAGCTGCAAGAAAAAATCCACCAAGCTCAGAGAGTACCAAGTACCGTATTTTTCGGACTATAAAACGCACCTAAATTTAGAAGAGGACAACAACCCAAAAAAAGTTTGTGGCCTACCTTTTTTCGGGCCTTTTTTCAGGCCTTTTCCAGTCTATTTTCGGCCTGTTTCCGAGGCTTTTTCCGGCCCATTTTTGAGGCTTTTTTTGGCCCGTTTTAGGAGCTTTTTTCAGCCTGTTTTCAAGGCTTTTTTCAGCCCATTTTTGAGGCTTTTTGCGGCCCGTTTTTGGGGCTTTTTTGGCTCATTTTCAAGGCTGTTTGGAGCCGTTTTTGAGGCATTTAGGGGGCTGTTTTTGAGGTTTTTAGGAACCATTTTGGGGGCTGTTTTTGAGGCTTTTGGGGGGCTGTTTTTGAAGATTTTTTCAGCCCATGTTTTCCAAAAGAAATGCCAAAAAATCCTCAAAAACAGCCCGAAAAAAATACTCAAAAACAGCCCCCCAAAAGCCTCGAAAATGGGCCCAAAAAAGGCCCAAAAACAGGGTGTGTGGTGGCCAAAAAACAGCCGGCGGGGCTTCGGCAATATCCGGTCTATGAGACGCACAGGCATTTTTGCCCCCTTTTGGGAGACACAAACGTGTGTCTTATAGTCCGAAAAATACAGTACCTCTCATTTCAACCCTGAGCTACAAATATTCTCCTTTATCGGAACTTTTTCAATTCAAGAAAACCTGGTCCTCTTAGGTTTGCTGCAGAATTGGAGTCCTTACAAATCAGGGGCTGGTAAATACTCAGGACTAGTCTGTAGGGGCTCAAATTCTGGAGCAAACCTAAGAGGGCCAGGATTTCTTGAATTGAAAAAGTTCTGATAAAGGAGAATATTTATTGCTCAGGGCTGAAATGAGGGGTCTTTCGTACTCTCTAAGCTTGGTGGGTTTTTTTTCTGGCAGATATTCATTATCTGGCCCTTTGGTTGTCCATGTTTGGGCCTGTGGGATTGCTTTTACTTTGAAGAAAACTGCTTCTTTTTTTTTTCCAATTTACGTATGTCCATGTGTGCATTCCTACTCACTTTCCCAGCCCTATTGGTTTGCCCCTCTACAACAGTTCCAAGTGTCTTATATTGACACTCTCGGGAAATTCTCTAGAGATTCTCCTTCATCCAGTCATGGTAGTCCCAAAGATGCTTTTTCAGGAGGCAACTGGACTTTCTGGTTTTTTCTTTTGAAGATGTTTCGCTTCTCACTCAAGAAGCTTCTTCAGTTCTGATAGGACGGTGGGGAATGGAAGGATTTATATTCCTTGCAGACAGCTGGTCATTTGCATCCTTTTAGAGGGTCATTGAGGCCACTTGGAGGTCTGTCTGTGTCTTCAGGGTCTCCCGAGTAGTGCAAATGGTTCCTGTAGTCTGCAATTTTTTTCTTCTGGAAAGCCATTCCTACTCCCACCCCATTCCAAGGGGGTTCATCCCAAATTGTATAGCTAAAAGTCTGTAGAGATTCCCAGTCATCCAGGTCATGGTTAAGACTGAGAATCTCTACAGACTTTTAGCCATACAATTAGGGATGAGCCCCCTTGGAATGGGGTAGGAGTAGGAATGGCTTTTCAGAAGAAAAAAATTGCAGACTACAGGAACCATTTGCACTACTCAAGAGGCCCTGAGGACACAGATAAACCTCCAAGTCAGGGGTGGGCTTCAAAAATTTTAGCAAGGAGTTCTCTGGATGGTTGCTGGATGGGCGTGGCCTAGTTGGCCTCCTGCACCACGCCGGAGGGGGGGGAGTGTTTTTGCCCTCCCCGGGCTCCGGACGCTTTCCTCAAGCCTCCAGGAGGGCAAAAATGACCTCCCCAGGTTCCAGAGGTGTTTCTGGCCTTCTTGAACTTCCAGTAGGCCCGTTTTTCGCCCTTCCCGAGCCTCCGCGAATGCACTGCACTTACCTGCATCCAAAACGGCTGGGTGGGGACTCTGGGGAGGAGTGGGCGGGGCCAGCCTGGAGTGGGACTTGGGGGTTCTCCGAACTGCACATCTTAGCTAGAGGTTCTCCCGAACCCCTGCGAACCCCCAGCAGCCCACTCCTGCTCCAAGTGCTTCAACAACCCTCTAAAAGGATGCAAATGACCAGCTGTCTGCAAGGAATATAAATCCTTCCATTCCAGTGGTGGGTTCCTCCCGGTTCAGTCCGGTTCGGCCGAGCCAGTAGCGGTGACGATATGACGTCACCGAACCGGTTCTCCCCGCCCTCCCACCCCCCACGTTATTCTTACCTTTTATTTGGTCCCACCCCCAATCTATTGCTGCCTCCTGAGTCCCAGCTGATGACTAGAGGGAAAAAACCTGTTTAAACTCTTGCCGCGGGGCTTCAAAGGGCCGTCCTACAGCTGATCAGTGTTAAAAGCAAACAAATGAGTCAGCTCGTAAGTGCGAAGACTGGTCGTAAGTGTGAGGACCTTCCAGAAATGACTCTGACCAGCTACCCACGCCCACCTAGTCACATGACCTCCAAGCCACACCCACAAAATAAGCCACGCCCACAGAACTGGTAGTAAAAAAATTTAGAACCCACCCCTGTTCCATTCCCCCATCCTGTCAGAACTGAAGAAGCTTCTTGGGTGAGAATCAAAACATCTTCAAAGAAAAAACAAGAAAGTCCAGTTGCCTCCTGAAAAAAAGCACCTTTGGGATAACTTTGGGGAAATTAATTGCCCACAACTTCATAAACTGTCTTAGCCTTTGGAAAACCTTGAGCAAGACCCCCCACCCAGCCCTGTCTCATTCTTCCACATGCTGCAACAGTGCAGAGTAAACCATGCCTTAATAAAGATGCTAGTCCCAAATGTGCAGCAGTAGGAAAGTGGAAACGAGCATGTCACACCAGCGGGTTTCAAATAGCACGATCTCCAAAGAGAAAACAGAATTTTCAGGCAGGCTTGAAAATTCAGGGAAAAAGAACATCCTGTTTTCTCCCTTCCTAAAATTGAGAGAGGTGTGTTTTTCTTTAAAGAATGAAACTAACCAGATCAGAGCTGAAAACAAGCTGGACATCAACTTGGAGAGAAGCAGAGTGACCGATATGGTGAGTAGTTCTGTGTTGGTATTTTTTTTTTCCTTACTTAAAAGTAGTCCTTGATTTGCAACCACAGTGGAACCCCAAATTTCTGTTGCTGAGCAAGGCAAATTTTTTTTTTAATTTGATTTATATGCCGCCCTTCTCCGGAGACTCAGGGCGGCTTACAATGTGCTAAGCAATAGCCTTTATACTTTTGTATATTTATACAAAGTCAGCTTATTGCCCCCACAATCCAGGTCCTCAATTTACCTACCTTAGAAAGGATGGAAGGCTGAGTCAACCTTGAGCCTGGCAAGATTCGAACTTACTAATTGCAGACAGCTGGAGTTAAATTACAATGCATTAGTCTGCTGAGCTATCCAGGCTTCTAGAATTGTTATGTGAGCTTTGTCCCCATTTTGCTATCTTTTTTTTTTTTGCCATGGCTGTTAAGTGAATCACATGGTCATTAAGCAACTCTAGGTCACCCCACGGACTTTGCTTGTCAAAAGTCAGCTGGGAAGGTTTTTCAGTGCCGTCGTAACTTCGAACAATCATTGAATGAACGGATGTAAGTCAAGGACGACTTGTATTTTTTCAGCTGATTGTGTATTCCTGTTTGTTTTTGTTTTTTTAATTTTGGTTCTTTTTCCTAATTCTCCAGTTCACAGATCAAGAAAGAAAGCTGATGGAAGCCTCCACGGAATTTCATAAAAAAGTAAGCGTTTGAACCGCTTTTGTTCTAGATCCGTGATGGCGAACCTCGCAGAGCCATATCTGTGGGCACGTGAACGTTACCTTAGCTGAGCTCCAGTGCGCATCTGCGCGCAGGCCAGCTGATTTTCGGGCCTTCTAGTCCCACCGGAAGTCAAGAAACGGGCCATTTCCGGCCTCTGGGGAGGTGGGAAAGGCCGTTTTCGCCCTCCCCAGGCTCCAAGAAAGCCTCTGGAGCCTGGGAAGGGCGAAAAACAGGCCTACTGGGCCCACCGCTTACCTTTTTGGTGTCACGTGCCAAAAGTGGGGGGAGGTCATGCGCGGAGGCATGGGGGGGCATTGAATTATGGGTGTGGGCACACGCGCAACCCCCCATGCGCGACCCCCGCTTTTGGCACGCGACGGCAAAAAGGTTAGCCATCACTGTTCTAGATTCTAGATCAGTGTTTCTCAACCAGGGCAACTTGAAGATGTGTGGACTTCAATTCCCAGAATTCCCCAGCCAGCCATGCTTGGCAACTGACGTATCAGGGTTGCAGCATTCCATAATCGCCATTCGCATCCTTGCCAGCTGGCTTCCAACAAGCGAAGTCAATGGGGGAAGCCGGATTCGCTTAATAACCTCATGATTCCCTTAACAACTGTGGTTGTTAAAATCATGGCAAAAACGGTTGTAAAATTGAGCGTGACTCATTTAACAACCGCTTCGCTTAGCAATGGAAATTCTGTTCCCAATTTTGGTTGTAAGTCACATTTGTAAACAAGGCAGCAACGTGACGGAAGGAAATGCATGAATTTTAAATACCCCGACAGAACAGAAATAACCTTTTCCTGGGTATCCAAAGTTAATTAATTCTTGATTAGTTGATTCCTGATAAGGGGATGCCACAAAAAAGGAGAGGGTCAACCTATTCTCCAAAGCGCCTGAGGGCAGGACAAGAAGCAATGGGTGGAAACTAATCAAGGAGAGAAGCAACCTAGAACTAAGGAGGAATTTCCCATCAGTGAGAACAATTAATCAGTGGAACAACTTGCCTCCAGATGTTGTGAGTTCTCCATCACTGGAGACTTTTAAGAAGACATGTAAAAACATATAAAACATATGAAGAACAGTTGCAGGAACTGGGTATGTCTAGTTTAATGAAAAGAAGATTTAGGAGAGACATGATAGCAGTGTTCCAATATCTCAGGGGTGGCCACAAAGAAGAGGGAGCCAACCTATTCTCCAAAGCACCTGAGGGCAGGACAAGAAGTAATGGGTGGAAACTAATGAAGGAGAGAAGCAACTTAGAACTAAGGAGAAATTTCCTGACAGTTAGAACAATTAATCAGTGGAACAACTTGCCTCCAGATGCTCCAACACTGGAAGTTTTAAAGAAGAGATTAGATAACCATTTGACTGAACTGGTGTGGGGTTTCCTGCCTAAGCAGGGGGTTGGACTAGAAGACCTCCAAGGTCCCTCCCAACTCTGTTACTGTTAACAAAGGATGTTGATGCCACACTAAACCACAGGGAGAAAATAGCCTATTTCTGCTAACTGCCCTGCTCCTTTTGGATGCCAAATGATGCTCTGTATGTCCTTTTAGGATTCCAGCACCAACAGTTCCATTACGGAAGTCAACAATAAAATAGATGCTGAGATTGCAGCTCTCAAAACACTCATGGAGTCAAATAAGCTGGAAACCATCCGGTACTTAGCAGGTATGTGCCTGGTGTGTTAAAAGCCAGCCTCCAAAGTGGGATGCTTAGCAATTCAAACAAACGGACAACGTTTTCTGTAGCTGCTGAATGATAAGGGACGGGGCGGTTAGGATGTAGTATTGCAGATTAACTCTGCCAACTGCCAACAGTTCGATCCTGATGGGGCTGAAGGTTGACTCAGCCTTCCATCCTTCCGAGGTGGGTAAAATGAGGAGCCAGATTGTTGGGGGCAATAGGCTGACTCTGTAAAACTCTTAGAGAGGGCTGGAAAGCATTATGAAATGGTATATAAGTAAGTGTTATTAGGAATGGAGGGAGGGAGGGAGAGAAGGAAGGAAGGAAAGAAGGAAAGGGAAGGAAGGAAGGAGCTGTGATGGCACAGTGGTTAGAATGAAGTATTACAGGCTAACTCTGTCGACTGTCAGCAGTTCGAATCTCACCAGGCTCAAAGTTGACTCAGCCTTCCATCCTTCCAAGGTCGGTAAAATGAGGACCCAGATTGTTAGGGGCAATACGCTGACTTTATAAACCGCTTAGAGAGGGCTGTAAAGCACTGTGAAGCGGTATATAAATCTTAAGTGCTACTGCTACTGCTATTTCGGTTATTTAATCACATTTCATACAATTCCTCACTTGTTTTCTATTTTCTTTTGCTTTAATAACTTAATAAAAGATGGCAAAGAGTCTGGAGGCTAAATCATATCATGAACGATTGAGGGAACTAGGTATGTCTAGTCTAGTGGAGAGAAGGACTTGGGGTGACATGTTACGTCAAATAGAGTTAATTTTCCTTCTCACACATGGAGATTCTCTGTCATCCAGGTCATAGTTGTCTCAAAGGTGCTTTTTCAAAAAGGCATAACTGGACTCTTTTTTTCCTTGAGGAAGAAGAAGATGTTTCGCTTCTCATCCAAGAAGCTTCATCTGTTCTGACTGGAGGGCGGAGAGATGGAAGGATTTAGTTCTGAGCAGTCAGAACGGATGAAGCTTCTTGGATGAGAAGCAAAACTACTTCTTCCTTTTCTTCTCCTTCCTTTTCTTCTGCTTCTTCCTTTTCTTCTCCTTCTCCTCCTCCTCCTTCCTTTTCTTCTTCCTTTTCTTCTCCTCCTTATTTTTCTTCTTCCTTTTCTTCTTCCTTTTCTTCTGCTTCTTCCTTTTCTTCTTCCTTTTCTTCTGCTTCTTCTCCTCCTTCTCCTCCTTCTTTTCTTCCTTTTCTTCTTCCTTCTCCTTCCTTTTCTTCTTCTTCCTTTTCTTCTGCTTCTTCCTTTTCTTCTCCTTCTCCTCCTTCTTCTTTTTCTTCTTCTTCTTCTTCTCCTCTTTCCTTTTCTTCTTCCTTTTCTTCTTATTCTTCCTTTTCCTCCTCCTCCTCCTCCTCCTCCTCCTCCTCCTCTTCCTTCTTCTTCTTCTTCTTCTGGCTGGGGAATTCTGGGAGTTGAAGTCCGCCAGGCTTAAAGTTGCCAAGGTTGGAGACCCCTGCTCTAAACATCTCTAACATGACCATCCAGCCTCTGTTTGAAGGTCTCTTTTGTGAAGATCTTCAGCTGGTATCAAAGATTGATATCCTGGTTGCTCTTCTCCGCACTTTTTCTAAAGATGTTGAGACTCCAGAAAGAGTGCAGAGGAGAGCAACCAAGATGATTAGGGGACTGGAGGCTAAAACATACGATGAACGGTTGCAGGAACTGGGCATGGCTAGTCTAGTGAAGAGAAGGACCAGGGGAGACAGGATAGCAGTCTTTCAATATTTGAGGGGCTGTCACAGAGGGGAAGGGGGTCAAGCTATTCTCCAAAGCACCTGAAGGCCAGACAAGGAATAATGATTGGAAACTGAACAACGAGAGATTCAACCTGGAAATAAGGAGAGATTTCCTGACAGTGAGAGCAATCAACTCATGGAACAGAAGTTGCCTTCAGAAGTTGTGGGAGCTTCATCACATCAAGAAGAGACTGGACTGCCATCTGTCAGAAACGGTGTAGAGTCTCCTGCTTGGGCAGGGGGTTGGACTAGATGACCTACAAGGTCCCTTCCAACTCTTGTTAATCTGTTAAAATGGTGAAGGCAAATTGCATGAAACTTTTTAAACCCAAAAAGATTCACTATTTTTTTTTCTTCTTCTTTTAATTTCAGCTTCTGTTTTCACTTGCCTTGCCATCGCTTTGGGATTTTATCGATTTTGGAAATAAGAAGCCCACCAAGGTGTGGGGGGGAAGAAAAAGAGGACAGAGCAAAAACATTCCTCATTGGGCACCTCCAACATATCTGAGATAACCTCTTCGGGCTGATCCTTTCCACGTTGTTTTCATCAGCCAGTGATCTTTTTCATCCTCCGTCGCTCTGGACAGAACAGCTCAAACAATTTGTGCCCCGTGGAAGAGTTGTAGAGGCTGATCTACTGGAGCCCAAGAGATCTCTGGAGCTTGAAAACTTAGGAAAGGGAGGTGAAAATGTACCGGATGATCCAAAAGCTGCAGCCAGCTAATCGTGTCATATCCTGCAGCTGGTTTTCTCTTCTCCAGCCTGATCCTCTTGGCCTTCATCCTTTTGGGTTGAATCTTCTTTGCTCTCCAACTGCAGTTGAGTTGGGACCGTAGCTTTGAGAATTCAGATTGGCTGCGAATTTACACAGTTGCACTCCTAACATATCTGGAAAGTGCCCAATAACAGAACGTTGGTTTCCACGCACGAGCGTGTTTCCAAGTTTACAGTAGTGGCCAAAATTGTGGAAACCTTTTAGGAAAAGTGTATTTTCTAAAACTAGCTAATAACACCACTTTTTTGGGGGGAGTGGGGGAGTAGTGCCATCAAATTATATATCAATGGAAAGATAATTTAATCAAGAATGTCATGCAATCACTTTTATGAAGGATTTGCTCTTAGAATAGCAGTTACCGTATAAAGAAGAAAAGGGAAACGCGTAGAAAAAAACGAGATCTACAAAAATGATCACCATAGAAAAAACAAGCTATACAAAAATGATCACCATGTCAGCTAATATTTAGTTGGGTAACCTTTAGCATTAATTACGGCCTTACAACGTCTTCCCATGGAGTGACCCAAGTCTTTTAGTTCTGCAGCTGTTCTCATGGGAAACCAAGATTGAAGGGTTGTTTCTATTAACTGGGTTTTATTGCTGGGTCGCTTCTGACTAACCAGTTTCTTTCGTCGGCTCCATAGATTTTCCATTGGGTGAAGGTCTGGGCTTTTCCCAGGCCATTCCAGCAGTGGAATAGGATTATCTCGAAACTCCAAAATAAAAAGTGGTGTTATTAGCCATCAAACCTCAAAAATACACTTTCCCCAAAAGGTTTCCACAATTTCGGCCACTACTGTGGAGCTGCTGGTGGAGAAATTTCATCAGATGTTCCACTGCCTTCCTATATAACAGCACTAGAGGATAGTGTCTCACTTGGGACGAGAAAACCAACCAACAGAGAATGTTCAAAAAACTGCTTTATCCTGATTTAACGTGACTGGATGTACTGCCATTATTTTGTTTCTCCCTGCGGAACACATAACACTACTTATATTCCATTCTAGACTGGAAATCTAGGCCCTTTCTAGATTGTGGTATTCTCAGAATTGCATAGCAGCCACTCTACCCCGGCGTTCCCTTAACCTGGGCCGCTGCCAAACGCACGGACTTCAACTCCCAGAATTCTCTTAACCGCCTTGACTTTTGCTGGGAATTCTGGGAAGTGCGAGAGAAGCATCTGAAGAGACTATAAGCTGTTATAGAGGAGAGAAAAATTAAATATATAGTAGTTTCAGAAAAGGCTGAAAGATCTGGGACAGTGTTTTTTCAACCTTAGCAACTTTTAAGATGAGTGGACTTCAACTTCCAGAATTCCCCAGCCAGCCATGGCTGGCTGGGGAATTCTGGGAGTTGAAGTCCACTCATCTTAAAAGTTGCTAAGGTTGAAAAAACACTGATCTAAGATAGCCTTCGGTTCTGTTCTCTTACCAGTTGTTGGCTGAAATTAACTCTGGGACTTTTTGAGGTTCTATTATCACTAAATCTTGGCCTTTTTCAGCGTAAGCAAAAAATAAAACATGGTGCCTTTTAAAATTTAGCTTAGCGCTGTTTGTGAGGAAGAAGAAATGTGAGAACAATTTCAGACTGCCTCACTCTTTGAATTCTCTTTTGTGGTCATCCGGTAGAAGTTACTACGGAGTCGCATTTGTTAATCTGTGATGCTCTTGCTCGATTACTCCTCTTCTTTTATCAAGGATTGGATCCACATGACTCGCTTACAAACTTAACCGGGCACTCTGGCCTGTTAGCGATATCTTATCGAATGAGTCTTGAGCCGTGGTGGCGCAGTGGTTAGAATGCGGTATTGCAGGCTAATTCTGCCCACTGCCAGTTCGATTCTCACCGGCTCAAGGTTGACTCAGCCTTCTGTCTTTCCAAGGTCGGTAAAATGAGGACCCAGATTTTTTTGGTGGGGGGGGGGGAATAGGCTGACTCTGTAAACCGCTTAGAGAGGGCCGGAAAGCACTGTGAAGCGGTATACAAGTCTCAGTGCTATTGCTATTACGCAATACATGAAACCATAAATCTGTGGTTTATAGACTGCAAGCGGCTGGCAGTCTGATTTTCAGAACTTTTGCTGATTCAAGGACGGTGCTAAATTTCCTGGTAGCCATTGACACACTTCAGAAATGACTCAACAGTACACAAGCCACATGGGAGGTTTGGTTTGAGCGATAGAATTGGATTAGTTAAACCAGGGGTGTCAAACTGAAATTTCATTGAGGGCCGCATCAGGGCTGTGGTTGATCTCGGGGATCTCCTTCTCCGGAGACTCAGGGCGGCTTACAATGCGCTAAGCAATAGCCTTCATTCTTTTGTATATTTATACAAAGTCAGTTTATTGCCCCCCACAAACTGGGTCCTCAATTTACCTACCTTAGAAAGGATGGAAGGCTGAGTCAACCTTGAGCCTGGCGAGATTTGAACTTGCAGTAATTGCAGGCAGCTGGTCTAAATAACAGGGTGCTTTAGACACTGTACTACCAAGGCTCCTTGGTTTTAGAAGCTCTGATGTGAGTTAAGAGGAAGAAAGGATTATTATTATTATTATTATTATTATTATTATTATTATTATTATTATTATTATTATTATTATTATTGAAATACCACATTAATTCACAGGAAACGTAAACCTGCCTTTCCAGAGCTGTATTTTCTGCAATTTATCTTGCATTGTCTTTAAAAAAAAAACAACAGGGTGCTTAAAGCTGCCAGATGTTTTCCTTTGCGAAGGGAAGATTTAAGTTCACACCGCCAGCTGGTTTATTCCCCAGTTCCCTCAAATACGTGCATCAGACAGAACGTTGTTGGTTTTTTTAATTGCAATATTGTGTTTTGTAGTTCTATCAGACTGTCTTGTCTTCTTCACCTTTGTGCTTTCCAGATGTTGGAGAAATAATTGTTTTTACTTTGATATGTTGAAGGCAGGTGGGTTGGGACAGCGGCCCCTAAGCACAAAGAAGCTGAATTTCTTCAGAAATAATTCTTGTTGCTTTGATAACTGAAATTCTTGGAAGTGAATGTCTCCGTTTTAATATCTGGTATCTGCTGCCCCCTGGAGTTCACCTGCGGAGTTTCTACTTGGCTGCAAATTTCCAAAATTGCTTAATTGTTCAGTCCCTTCTTACACTTGGTAAATTTTCTGACCCGGCTCCCAAACACCACAAACCCTTTGTAGTTAAATAAATGTTCCCCTTATTAGGAGCGCCAGCAGCCCTGGCAAAAAGTTTCTCTCACTGCAGGCTAACAAGTCTGTCCAGCAGGGAGATGAATAGTTGTCTGCACATCTATTCATCTCCGTTGCCTGCCTTGTATCCCCAGAGCTAGGGTGGGGCTTCGCTAGCACGGTGGCTCTTCCATCCCAAGGACCGGCCCATAGATTTCCACTGCTCTCCTCTCCTCTGCCTTCTGCACATCCGCACAACAGGCACTGGACCCAGCTGTTCCTCCTCTTCCTCATCAAACACCTCCAGACCTGGGGGCTGTTGACTCTCCATCTGAGGACTGACGGGCGGCCCAGGCTCTGCCTCTGTCTCTCTCTCTCCGCCAGCTCCATTCCCTCTTCCCACTCAGAGCTCTCAGGTTGCCTTGATGCTGGCCCTGACTCCCACGCTACCACCGCCTCATCTAATTTGGCTGCTGGAGGGGCTAGCGGTCGACAGACCACAACAGTAAACCAACCGATCTCATTTCACCAAGATAGCCTTCAACAATTTCTTTGAATGCTTGTTAGCCCATTTCCCTCCCCCCCCCATTTTAAAAATAAGTTTCACCATGTAGAAGAAAAACTACCGTATGCCGCTGGAGCAACAGAAACTCACCTTTGACACCCATCGTCTGGTGCGAGATCTAGAAGCCCACCGTGAGCAAACACCTCCAGTGAAAAGTGTCTTAAGTTTAGTTTAGTTTAGTTTACTTCATTGTCACTGCACCTCGCACAACGAAATTACCGTATTTTTCAGAGTATAAGATGCACCTTCCTCCCCCAAAAGGGGGTGAAAATTTAGGTGCGTCTTATACACCGAATGTAGCCCCGCCCACCCACTGGCCCCGACCCTTTGGCCTCTGCCTCCCAGCAGTTTACCTCCTTGCAGCAAGCAGCAAGAAGAAACAGCTTGTTTCAGCCTCAGCACAGCCTAATTAGCACAAGTTCATTGGATTGGCCTCCTGACTCTCAGCTGTTTTGCTCTCAGCTGTTTTGCGTGGGCCTCTGCTGCTTGCTGCAATTAGCTATTGTGCTAATCAAGCTATGCTGAAAACGAAAATGAAAGTAAAGCAGGCTGTTTGCTGTAATGAGGCAAAATTGCTGGGAGCAGAGGCAGATTTCTTTTTCTTGTTTTCCTCACCAAAAAAGGTAGGTGCGTTTTATAGTCCGGAGCATCTTATACTCCGAAAAATACAGTAATCTTGTATTTTTGACCATCTCTGCTGGGTTCTTCGACTTGCTGATGTAAAAATAAAACAGATGCATCACTCATATTAAAGTGTTCAGTTTATTAACATCCTCATGGTACAGCAGAAATTTCATTGAGCCTTGGCTAAGGGGCAACATAAGCAGATATTTTTTAAAAAAATTAGAAATATTAGTCTTTAATGACAAGCCAGTGTGTTGTAATTAGCGGTGCATTTTAAAACCCTTATCCGTAATGGCAACCCGGTTCAGAGGCAGCCTTTCCAAATTTCAGGAACCCCAAAACGGGTTAAACCCATGATCCCCAAAATTGCTAGAATTTCATTCCGAGGGCTGCAATGTTTCACATTTAAAAGGTTGCACAAAACTGATGTTCGACAAGTCTGGGTTAATCTGGATTTGAAGGAGAAAGGAGATTTAGGCTACGGGTCCTATAAAGCGCCTCTTTAAATCAAAAGCTGTGCAAACTTAGATGTAACTTGAGTTCTGACAGGTGGACCCATGCATATGGACAGGTTATACATTACCCCTTTCCCTTCAAATTCAGCATCTGGCAAAGCAATATATTTATGATGCCACAAACAGATGTGCTTCGACTAGTTAAGGAGGTGACATTGTTAGTTAACCTATTTTTGTGCTTAGGATTGTACGGGAAGGCAACTGAATTTAATTTTCCTTTGAGTAAAATGCTTACTTTTGTTTACTACTTGTTTACTACTTGCTTTTCTTAGAATCTTTTTACAATCACACCCCCAGGGCCGAAGAGAGGCTTTTTCTTCATTTTCTTCTCTTTCTTGGTGTCAAAACTCACTTTAGGCAAATCGGAGGCGGCTGTGTCCACGTCAGGCTCTTCTTTTGGGAACTCCAGTGACTCCTGCAAGCGACGTTAGAAATTGACATTGGCTTCGTGTGGTAAACGACATTGAAAGGGAGATTTTAAAAAGGAGTTAACGCAGGGGTGGGCTTAAAACATTTTAGCAAGCGGTTCTCTGCTTGATTGCTAGGTGTGCATGGCCATGGTGGGTGCGGCCTAGTCGGCCTCCTGTACCACAGCCCTCCCCAGGCTCCGGAGGCTTTTCTCAAGCCTCTGGGAAGGCAAAAACTGCCTCCCCAGGCTTCAGAGGCCATCTGGAGGCCTTCCATTAGGCCCGTTTTTTGCCTCCCCAAGCCTCCGTGCGCGGCCTGCACTTACAGTACCTGCATCCAAGACAGGCTGCGTGGGGACTCCTGGGAGGGGCGGGGAGGGGGGGGCAGGGCCAGCCGTGGGATTTGGGGTTTTTCCAAATTACACAGAATCTTAGCTAGAGGTTCTCCCGAACCCCTGAGAACCCCCAGCAGCCCACCCATAAGTTAACGGCGATAGCGATTCGGTCTTCTAACTTCTAACTAGGGAAGCAGCAGACGATGGATTGTCTGTTTATGTTCTTTAGGTATAATGTTAAGAGTGCCGGTTTGGTGTAGCGGTGGAGGCACCAGGCTAGGAAATGGGTGACGGTGAGTTCTAGTCCTGCCTTAGGCAGGAAGGTGACTTTGGGCCACTCGTTCAATCTCCGCCCTAGGAAGGAGACAATGAGGAGGCCGCTTCTGAAACTGTTGTCCGGAAAACCGTAGGGACTAATCCAGGCATTCTACCACAATGAAGAATAACTTGAAAGCAGAAGTCTGTTCTCATTCAGCCTTTGCAAGAAATGATAAGCTGTTTACTCACAAGTAAAACAAACCCTGTTTTTATAACAAGGCAGTAACAGTCTTTTATTCATAAACAAACAAACAAACAAACCCAAATGTAATTAGTCCCAACAAACCTGGCTCTGGCCAAGGAATCCAAATTGCTTGCTGTATACTAGAAATGAACAGTTGTCTGTGACAACTAGTCACTCCCAAACCTCTACTATTTATTTCCCAGCCAGGGAGGGGCTGGCTAGCGTCTACGTCTGCTTTTCCCTGAGAGCCGGCTTATTGTTTTTCTTTGCTCTCCTGTCAGATCCCTAAAAGTGATACTGCCAATCAATTGGGAGAAGGGGGAGACTTGGATTTGATTTACTAGCATTGCCTGTGTCAACAGATATTTTACAACCTATATCCTGGCGCCAAAGAGCCCTGAAATCCTCTTAACGTGGAGGAATGTTTATGATAGCCATGTGGGTTGTTTCACTTTAAAGGATAATGGTGTAAATACATGTTTGTTCGGGTTCTCAGGGAAACTAGTAAAGAAAACATCTTCACACTTGTGTATTGACTAAAATCTGCATTCTGACTTAAAGGGAGGAGTCTCTACTGCTTTAATCCTACTTGTCTTGCCTATTCAGATCTTGCTTTAACTTAGTTGCTAACACTTCTGCTTAATAAAAGGATCCTTTTGAACTACCACGTTTCAAGAGTCTTTACTTTCTTAAGTCTCTCTTCTCTATGCATATGTGCATCTGGGATGGGCCCCATCTGTTCCTCCTCCTCACTCAGCTCAGAACCCGAAGACAGGGGGGGCGGGGAAGGAGGGGAGGACGGAAGGCCCCAGCTCTGTCTCTGATGCCGTTTCCTTATGGGAGCCTTCCAAAGGCTCCGAAGCTGGCTTAAGCTGTCCCTCCACCTCCTCTTCCTTGTCTGACTCTGCTGCTAGCTCTGCTGGCAGCCAACGAGCCACAACAAAGTCTCTATGTTCAACATTAAAAGTAAAGATGACCTCGAGATTTCCTCAACCTCATGGACACCTCCATGTATTTTTCCTGGCAACAGCACGGAAGCAGTATGCCATTGCCTTATTCAAGAATATTTGCTCCAAGCTAAATTCCTACATCCTGGAATTCCCTGATGACTTGTAACCAGTAATGAATGTCAACCAGGTCCAGGTCACCTTATCAAGATCTCCCAAGGTCAGCTCAATGCTACTAACTGGAAAAGCTGTCCAACAGATTTAATACCCCTTTTGCACAAAGGATTACCGTATTTTTTTGGAGTATAAGACGCTCCAGACTATAAGACGCATCTACCTTTTTTGGGGAGGAAAACAAGAAAAAAAAATCTGCCTCTGCCTCCCAGCAATTTACCTCATTGCAGCAAACAGCCTGCTTTACTTTCATTTTCATTTTCAGCATAGCCTGATTAGCATGAGAAAAAAAATCTGCCTCTGCCTCCCAGCAATTTGCCTCCTTGGCAGCAAACAGCCTGCTTTAGTTTCATTTTCAGCACAGCCTGATTACATGAGAAAAAAAATCTGCCTCTGCCTCCCAGCAATTTGCCTCCTTGCAGCAAACAGCCTGCTTTAGTTTCATTTTCAGCACAGCCTGATTAGCACGAGAAAAAAAAAATCTGCCTCTCCGAACTGCTCAAAATTTCCGCTACCAGTTCTCCAGAACCTGTCAGAACCTACTGGATTTCACCCTTGATATAGATGTAAGACAAAATTACGCCACTTGAATTGAAACAATTCCTGGTTTTCATCTCTTGGGTCATCTCGGGAAATTCAGATGTCAACCATCCCTGTAGTTTGAACCCAGAATTGCAGGATTTTTTTGTAAAAGGGGGGAGTGACACATATACCACAGCTGTGGTATTTACTTACCTTCCTTACTGGTTTGCAAATGTGAACGTGCGCTTCCACGCATGCGCACAGCCTCAAAAAATGTGCCTAAAAAGCACATCATATAGCCGGGGCAGGTAGGTGGAGCCACCCAGAATTTCCGCTACCGGTTCGGGCGATCCGGACAGAACCGGCTGAATATCACCTCTGTATATATCCAATCATCAACAATGCCAAGAATCACAATTTTATCTAAAAACAAAAATGGTACTCACCACAGAGAGCTTATGGGCTGAAGGCATCTCGTTTTTTTCTTGTAGCTCTCTGAGTTTCCCTATTTCTGCTCGGGCTTCGTCCAGTTGAGCTTCCAACTTCTCCCGTCGCATCTGCTCATATTCCAGCTGCATGTTCAGCTCAGAGATGATCCTTTTTCAAAGCCAGATCAAAACCAAGCTTCAGAAGATGCTATGGAGCCCAAACTTTCTGTTGCTAACCGAGACAGTTGTGAAGTGACTTTTGCCGTTTTGCAACCTTTCTCCGACGTTAAGCGAATCACTGCCATTGTGCGGTTAGTTAACAGGGTTGTAAAACGAACCTGGCTTCCCTATTGACTTTGCTTGTCAGAAGGTCTCAAGAGGTGATCACCTGATCCTTGAGACACTGCAATAATCTTCAATCACCATTTGAAAATGGAAGAAAAGGATTTCCAGAAAGCTAGTTGGGTGAATCTGGGCCAAGCTCGAGGTGACTGTGAATTCTAGTCCTGCCTTAGGCATGAAAGCCAGTTTAGTGAATCTGGGTCAAGCACCAGGTGACTGTGAGTTCTAGTCCTGTCTTAGCCATGAAAGCCAGTTGGGTGATCCTGGGCCAAGCACTAGGTGACTGTGAATTCTAGTCCTGCCTTAGACATGAAAGCCAGTTGGGTGAATCTGGGCCAAGCACCAGGTGACTGTGAGTTCTAGTCCTGCCTTAGGCATGAAAGCCAGTTGGGTAACCCTGGGCCAAGCTCCAGGTGTCTGTGAGTTCTAGTCCTGCCTTAGGCATGGAAGCCAGTTGGGTGAATCTGGGCCAAGCACTAGGTGACTGTGAATTCTAGTCCTGCTTTAGGCATGAAAGCCAGTTGGGTGAATCTGGGCCAAGCTCTAGGTGACTGAATCTGGGCCAAGCTCTAGGTGACTGTGAGTTCTAGTCCTGCCTTAGGCATGAAAGCCAGTTTGGTGAATCTGGGCCAAGCTCTAGGTGACTGTGAGTTCTAGTCCTGCCTTAGACATGAAAGCCAGTTGGGTGAATCTGGGCCAAGTACCAGGTGACTGTGAGTTCTAATCCTGCCTTAGGCATGAAAGACAGTTGGGTGACCCTGGGCCAAGCTCCAGGTGTCTGTGAGTTCTAGTCCTGTTTTAGCCATGAAAGCCAGTTGGGTGATCCTGGGCCAAGCACTAGGTGACTGTGAATTCTAGTCCTGCCTTAGACATGAAAGCCAGTTGGGTGAATCTGGGCCAAGCACCAGGTGACTGTGAGTTCTAGTCCTGCCTTAGGCATGAAAGCCAGTTGGGTAACCCTGGGCCAAGCTCCAGGTGTCTGTGAGTTCTAGTCCTGCCTTAGGCATGGAACCCAGTTGGGTGAATCTGGGCCAAGCACTAGGTGACTGTGAATTCTAGTCCTGCTTTAGGCATGAAAGCCAGTTGGGTGAATCTGGGCCAAGCTCTAGGTGACTGAATCTGGGCCAAGCTCTAGGTGACTGTGAGTTCTAGTCCTGCCTTAGGCATGAAAGCCAGTTGGGTGACCCTGGGCCAAGCTCTAGGTGACTGTGAGTTCTAGTCCTGCCTTAGACATGAAAGCCAGTTGGGTGACCCTGGGCCAAGCACTAGGTGACTGTGAATTCTAGTCCTGCTTTAGGCATGAAAGCCAGTTGGGTGACCCTGGGCCAAGCTCCAGGTGTCTGTGAGTTCTAGTCCTGCCTTGCGCATGTAAGCTTTGAAGATGATATTGGAAAAACTATGCAAAGACTATGGTTACAGAAACAATAGTATGCTTTAAACCCTGGAATCAAAGAAAGAAGCTCATATTGGCTCTACCCTAACAGTAACAGTAATAGAGCTGGAAGGGACCTTCGAGGTCATCTAGTCCAACCCCCCTGCTCATGCAGGAGACCTACACTAGGGATTCGAACTGCCGAACTGCCGACCTTTCTGATCGACCAGCTCAGCGTCTTAGCCACTGAGCCACCGAGTCGTAATTCATAAGAAGGAGAGAAGGGAAAAACCCAGTCAGGTTTTCAAGACCGATGTTAGCCCCTTGAGGTAGGCCAAATAAAAACACAGACTCCACAGATTTGTCTGGAATTCTACTTTATTGATCCGGGCTATTGTAACAGAATCTTTCATGTTTAACTAAGTTTAATTGGGGCGGGGGGGGGGTGATTGCTCTCTGTTTTAGTCAACCGGCAGAGGGCAGCAGAGCAATAATTCTTAAGAAGTGAATTATTTCTATTCTGAAGGAAGAGTAATCATTCTGGTATTGATAACCAGAAAAAACAAGGTCTCGCCACACTTTGAAGCCTGCTGAATTTCTTACCTCACTAAATTTTTGTAGTCTTCCAGCCATGAGGACAGTTGAAACTACTAACTCTCATTCACCTATAAAGGGGATTTTGACATTTAAGGGAGTTGAAGTGATGGAGTCGTGGCTGTATTAGATTTTTATCCGGCTTTTTTTTTTTTTGCTTTATAAATAACTCAAGGTAGAGAACATACCTAGTATTCTTTCTTCCTCCTATTTTTCCTCACAACAACCCTGTGAGGTGGGTTGAGCTGAGAGAGAAGGACTACTAGCCCAAAGTCACCCAGCTGGCTTTCATGCCTAAGGCGGGACTAGAACTCACCGTCTCCTGGTGATTGGCCTAAAGTTATCCTACTGCCTTTCATGTCTAGGGCAGAACTAGAACTCGCCATTTCCTGGTGATTGGCCTTAAATCAGGTAGCCGGCTTTCAAGTCTAAGATGGAACTAGAACTCACCATTTCCTGGTGATTGGCCTTAAAGCAGCCAGCCGGCTTTCATGTCCAGGATGGAACTAGAACTCACCATCTCCTGGTGATTGGCCCAAAGTCATCCTACCAGCTTTCATGCCTAGGGCAGGACTAGAACTCACTGTCTCCTGGTGATTTGCTAAAAATAACCCAACCAGCTTTCATGCCTAGGACAGGACTAGAACTCACCGTCTCTGGTGATTGGCCTCAAATCAGCCAGCCGACTTTCATGTCCAAGATGGAACTAGAACTCACCATCTCCTGGTGATTGGCCCAAAGTCATCCTACCAGCTTTCATGCCTAGGGCAGGACTAGAACTCACCGTCTCCTGGTGATTTGCTCAAAATAACTCAACCAGCTTTCATGCCTAGGACAGGACTAGAACTCATCGTCTCCTGGTGATTGGCCTCAAATCTGCGGCCGGCTTTCATGTCCAGGATGGAACTAGAACTCACCATCTCCTGGTGATTGGCCCAAAGTCATCCTACCGGCTTTCATGCCTAGGGCAGGACTAGAACTCACCATCTCCTGGTGATTTGCTCAAAATAACTCAACCAGCTTTCATGCCTAGGGCAGGACTAGAACTCACCGTCTCCTGGAGATTGGCCTCAAATCTGCCGGCGGCTTTCATGTCCAGGATGGAACTAGAACTCACCATCTCCTGGTGATTGCCCAAAGTCATCCTACCGGTTTTCATGCCTAGGGCAGGACTAGAACTCACCATCTCCTGGTGATTGGCCCAAAGTCATCCTACCGGTTTTCATGCCTAGGGCAGGACTAGAACTCACCATCTCCTGGTGATTTGCTCAAAATAACTCAACCAGCTTTCATGCCTAGGGCAGGACTAGAACTCACCGTCTCCTGGAGATTGGCCTCAAATCTGCCGGCCGGCTTTCATGTCCAGGATGGAACTAGAACTCACCATCTCCTGGTGATTGGTCCAAAGTCATCCTACCGGCTTTCATGCCTAGGGCAGGACTAGAACTCACCGTCTCCTGGTGATTGGCCTCAAATCAGCCGGCCGGCTTTCATGTCCAGGATGGAACTAGAACTCACCATCTCCTGGAACTCAAAATCACCCAGCCAGCTTTCACTCACCATCTACCAGTTCCTAGGCTGGCATCTTAACCAGGGGTGATATTCACTTACTTTCCCTACCGGCTCACAAATGTGAGCGTGCGTCCTTCCACACATGCGCCTGTCCTTCCGCGCATGCGCTTTGCTGGCGCGCACGCCTTCTGTGCATGCGCCCAGCCTCAAAAACATGCCTAAATAGGATACACTAGAGCCGGGGCGGGTTAGAATTTCCGCTATCGGTACGGGTGAATTAGTCCGAACCGGCTGAATACCACCTCTGACCTTAACCACTATACCAGATTGGTTCTCATGGATGTGAGTACAATCCTCGTGAATTTCTCAGCCGCTTGCAAAAGATTTTTTTACCTTTCTAGCCTTTTCTCATCAAGCTTGGCCTGCCTTTCCTGGGGAGTGATGCCTCCAAGCTGCTTGAAGTTGCTGAGGGCCATTTCTAGGAGACCTTGCAATTCTTCCACTTTCTGGTAGGCTCTTTCTGCAAGAGGAGGTTTTATTTAAAAAAAACAACAACCTCTCAGAGCATTTTTATGAACCTGCTTCAAACCAGAGCCCAAAAAAGAAGCCAGAGGCCCAAACGAGTCTCAGAAAGCGAATAAGAATCGTTCTGTGAAGCCTCGCAATGGCTCATTTGGCTGAATCTGTTCTGACCTAGCCTTCTCCAGCATCACGAAGCTGAGTCCTCGTCCCGATAAACCTCTTTTATTTAATTTACAGTGAATTCCTCTCCAGCAAAGTCTTTCCTCTCCCACAGTCTTTCAAGATAGTTCACAATTACCGACCTTTATCAGGCTTGGAGAGTGGCCAGGCCGATATCTTTCAGACTCCACACTGCAACCGACAATACTTAGCAAGAATGCAGGAACAGATCTTCATCCAAATGAACTAATTGTCTCCTGCAAACTCCCCTCCCCTTTCGCTCCTCTTTATTCCCTCTGGGAGGGGCCATTCACCGTCCACCTGTGGCCTTACTCCTGAGTCGACCCTTGTTCCTTAGCTGTTCCATTCTCCTGGTAGCTCTGTGCATAAGCACAGTAGGAACAGGCTCCAGCTGTTCTTCTGCCCCACTGATGTCCGACTCCGAAGGCAGCTGATAACTGTCAGACGGCCCTGGCCCCCTCTCTGCCTCCGACACAGAGCCCTCATCAGAGCCTTCCCCAGACTCCAGGACTGGCCCATGTTCCTCCCCAACCTCCTCACTGTCTGAATCTTCTGCCAGATCTGCTGGCCACTGGCGGGCCACAACAGAACTGTGGATTTTTTCAGGACACTGTATCTAGGTAGTCCTCAACTTACGACCACATTTGAGCCCAAAATTTATGTTGGTAAGCCAGATAGTGGTTCGTTGAGTTTTGCCCCCCACACACACACATTTTACGTTTGTTAAGGGAATCGCTGCGGTTGTTCAATGAGTCACATGGTCGTTAAGTGAATCCGGCTTCCCCATGGACTTTGCTTGTCAAAAAGTCACAAAAGAGGATCACATGTCTCCGGGACAGTGCAACCGTCATATATAGGAGTCAATTGCCAAGCATCTGAGTTTTGATCCCGTGACCATGGGGATGCTGCGACGGTGTGAAAAAGGGTCATAAGTCACTTTTTTCAATGCCATTGTGTTGTGGCTCCGATCCCTGAGCCCATTTTATCGGAGGAAGAAGGCTCTGAACATGAAGGAGAGGAGCTGGCCAGGCCTCCCTCTCCAGGCCCCTCCTCTCTGGCAATGTCTCAGGTGCCTGCCGAGGGAGAGGAGATTGACCAGGAGCCAGATGTCTCCGATGACAGAGATGAGGGGGATAAGTCGTTCCTGGATCCACGCCAACGAAGGCAAGATAAACATTTGTAGCAGATGAGGAGGCGTGCCAGGGATTAAGCTGAGTCACTGGACCACACCCCACAGGCTATATAAGAGAGTGTGGTGGCCATTTAGACTCTGTGACGGACAAAGCTAACTTCTGGCTAGTCACTTTGTACAACGCCTGAATCTGCTGAAGGTTTCATGTTTGAGCTGGACTGTTTTGAAAACTGTGTGTATTCGTTGGTGTTATCTGGTGGAGGAACACTCCCTCTTCTTGTAGTAAAGCACTTGGCAGACAGTTATCGTATTGCTGCCAAGTTCCTGATAACGAACCTTGTGTGTGCCGAGTACTTCTTTAACCCCCGGCTGGTTGTTTGTGTGTGTGTGGGGACGGGAACAGAACACATTGTAACGTCAAACGGTCACTAAATAAATTGTTGTAAGTTGAGGACTACCTGTCCCAAAGTGATTTTTTCCCAATACTTAAGTTGACTTGAATCAATTTAACATGTTAAGTCTTAGAGAGTTGCGTTTTTCTTTTTCTTTTGTTTGCTTTCACAATACAGTAATCCTCGACTTACAACCGACAGGAAGCCTCCCCATTATGGCTGTAAATCATGACAGTCGTAAAGCATGCCACCCATGGGACCTACCTACCCAATTTTACAGTCGTCTACGGAGATTTTCAGTCATTCAGGTCATGGTTGTCCCAAAGGTGCTTTTTCAAAAGGCAACTGGACTTTCTTATTATTTCTTTTCTTTTCTTTGAAGACATTTTGCTTCTCATGCAAGAAGCTTCTTCAATTCCGATTGTCACAATTTTGGGCTCACTTGCAGTCGTAAGTCAAGGACTACCTGTAAGCTGGTATTTTATTACCCTGTTTCCCCTAAAATAAGACATCCCCGGATAATAAGCCCAATTGGGCTTTAGAGCGCATGCACTAAAATAAGCCCCCCCCGAAAATAAGCCCTCCCTGAAAATATTTAAATGCATGTACAGCCGGTCCCACCATTTCCTCTGGTTTCCTCCAAGCGCCCCAAAATAATAAGACCCTCTCCAAAAATAAGGCCAAAAAATATTATATTATATTTTCAAAAAAATATAAGACAGGGTCTTATTTTTGGGGAAACACGGTACATTCTCTAGAGGTGACTTCCCAACTCTCAGGTGAAAAATATCCCCCCCAAAAAAAAATCTTTACCAAGAAAGTCCTGGACTTACCACGAGCGTCGATTTTCTCTTGCTTTTTTTCCTTCAGGTCTCCTTTGCTGTCCGTACTCCCTTCCACACCGTGATGTTCAAAATACGTTGGATCTTTTATGTCGATTTCCAAATCGGAATCATTTCCCATCTTGTTTTTCAGATACGCCACAACAGCCAGCTGGGCAAACCTGGAAAACGAAAGAACAACAAATTCTCATATCCAACAGTGGTTTGGACCGGTTCGGGCGAACTGGTAGGGCCGACCGTGGGTGGGCCTGCCCACCTGTCCCGGCGGTATGCTGTCCTATTTAGCTACGTTTTCGAAGACCGGGCACACGCATGAGCAAAGCACATGCACAGAAGGCTGGGCGCATGCACGGAAGGCACATGTGCGAAGTGAGCTCACGCACACACGGCGAACCGGTGGGAAAAATATGTGAAACCCACCTCTGCATACCAATTCTAATTTCTGCTCTTGAGTTCAGCGGTAGCATACCGGATGAAAGCCCTCCTGTTAAAATAGTCTAGTTAAATGCTACAAACATAGCAATGGGGATGAGATTTGGCTAGGTCAGGGGTGAGCAACTGTGGCCCTTTTACAACCTGTGGCCTTCAACTCCCAGGAGCTGGTTCAGGAATTCTGGGAGCTGAAGTCCACAGGTTGTAAAAGGGCTACAGTTGCCCACCCCTGGTGACTTTTATGAACCATCAGGCTAACCTTATCTCGTCTGGAAGCTAAGCGGGATCAGACCCTGGCTAATATTTGGATGGGGGAACAGGTAGATTTCACAGAGGTGTAGCAAGACTAAAAAGGCGACTGGATTTTCTTGGGTTTTCCTTGAAGACGTTTCGCTTCTCATCCAAAGAAGACGCCGCGCTAGGAGGAGACTCTATGGTGGAGGAACCGGACTTCTGGTTGGCTCCAGAATTGAATGGTTTCTGGTTAGGACTTTTGTGGCTCTTTGAGTGTTTAAGGTGGCCAAACCCCTGGACTAGCAACCGTTCATCATAGTTTAGCCCCAGATCACTTATGTATCACTTAGTTGCTCTGCTCTGCACACTGTTATGACATGTACAAGTTGCGCACTCCAAATTATCTTTTGCTTTTTAAATATGAATGGCTTTGTAGTCCTAGAAGTTACATGGAGCCATCAAGAGTTAAACCCAATTCAAAGCCCTGAGGAGCCTGAGTGGCGTAGGAGGCTAATGCCTCCTACTAAGGCAGCATTTAACATCCAGCTGCCTGCAATTACTGCGAGTTCAATTCTCACCAGGCTCAAGGTTGACTCAGCCTTCCATCCTTTCTAAGGTGGGTAAATTGAGGACCCAGTTTGTGGGGGCAATAAGCTGACTTTGTATAAATATACAAAAAGTATGAAGGCTATTGCTTAACGCATTGTAAGCCGCCCTGAGTCTCCGGAGAAGAGCAGCATATAAATCAAATTTAAAAAATAAAAAAAAAAGCCCATTCTTATCTTGGCTTGTAAGCCCCCAAGCCACCGTGGTTTATGGCTTACCCTAAAAAGTCAATGCAGATGAAGGAAATGAATAATAAGTTACTCTTTAATAAAAGCGTTAAATGTATTAAAAAGCTATGATGTTCTTACTGTTGCAAACTGACCACAAATTGTAATCAGTAGAGACAATGTGTTATGACTTGCTAAAAGCTCCCTTGGAGATAGGAACCTACTACGCCTTGGGCAAGACCACTATCAGTAAGAAAGGAACATCCGCTCAAGGTGAAAATTAAAAGTCAACATGATAAGATAGTTGTTGTTAGGCAGGAAATGTCAAGATGACCCTTTAAAGCAGTGGGTCTCAATCTTCCTAATGCTGCGACCCTTTAATATGGTTCCTCATGTTGTGGTGACCCCCAACCCATAAAATTATCCCTAAAACCATTGAAAATATGTGTTTTCGGATAGTCTTAGGCGACCCCTGTGAAAGGGTCGTTCGACCCCCAAAGGGGTCCCGACCCACAGATTGAGAACCACTGCTTTAAAGAGTAAAACAACTTGGAGAATGACTTAGGAGAATAAAGAGGAGAGTTGGGAGGGCTTCTTAGGCGTGGCGTGCGTTGTGTAGGAGTATAAAATGTGTAGCTTGAAAACTGCATTTTCAAGGGGAAATAAGGGAAGGGTCTAAGAGGCCGCACTTGCAACCGCTTTTTATTTTTCTTCACGATATCTCCGAGAAACTTTGGATTTTTGTGAACCAGGCTTGTTTTTGAATTGTTGAGTATGCAATTGGGGCTTTTATATCTCATGCAGACAATTGCGGCTGAACCAACCAACCAACCAAAGATAAATAATAGTTATGATTTAGGGCAGAGTTAGAAGCACAGCTGGCCTACCAATCTACAGTAGAACCATAGAATCATGGGATTCTAATCCAGCTGGGTGACTTTGGGCCAATCACCAGGAGACTGTGAGTTCTAGTCCTGCCTTAGCCATGAAAGCCAGCTAGGTGACTTTGAGCCAATCACCAGGAGACTGTGAGTTCTAGTCCTGCCTTAGCCATGAAAGCTGGCTGGGAGACTTAGGGCCAAGCACCAGGAGACTGTGAGTTCTAGTCCTGACTTAGCCATAAAAGCCAGCTAGGTGACTTTGAGCCAATCACCAGGAGACTGTGAGTTCTAGTCCTGCCTTAGCCATGAAAGCTAGATGGGTGACTTGGGGCCAATCACAAGAGACTGGGCGTTCTAGTCCTACCTTAGCCATGAAAGCTGGATGGGTGACTTTGGGCCAATCACCAGGAGACTGTGAGTTCTAATCCTGCCTTAGCCATGAAAGCTGGCTAGGTGACTTGGGGCCAAGCACCAGGAGACTGTGAGTTCTAGTCCTGCCTTAGCCATGAAAGCTGGCTAGGTGACTTGGGCCAAGCACCAGGAGACTGTGAGTTCTAGTCCTGCCTTAGCCATGAAAGCTGGCTAGGTGACTTGGGGCCAAGCACCAGGAGACTGTGAGTTCTAGTCCTGCCTTAGCCATAAAAGCCGGCTGGATGACTTGGGGCCAGTCCCTCTTTCTCAGCCCAATCCACTTCATAGGGTTGTTGTGGGGAAAATAGGAGGAGGAAGAATTATTGGTTATGTTTGCTGCCTTGAGTTAGTTATAAAAATAATAAAGATGGAATAATAAATAAATAAATAAATAAATCTCTATCCCTATATATCTATATCAGGGGTGTCCAATTGGATTTCAGTGAGGGCCGCATTACGGTTGTGTTTGACCTTGCAGGGGAGCCGGGGGTGTGGTGAGGGGGGCGTGGCCAGCTCGACATCACTCATGTTGGGGGCGCCTGGAGTGGCCCGAGCGCTGATAAATTGACACTTAAAGCCTGAAACTTAATGTAGAATGTGTAACTCCGTACCATCACAGTGTGTTAATATAAGGCAAATGGCAGTTGGAACAGAGGGTGAGGGAGAGTAGAATGTGCCAGCCCAAGCCAGATGAGTCACGCCCTAGCCACGCCCGTTTAGCGAAGGGCTAGCATCAGAGTGTGTTAATGTAAGGCAACTGGCAGTTGGAACAGAGTTCTTTTCAGGTGTGGAGCGGGAGTAGAACGTCTAACTCCTTAGCATCATGCATGTGAATATAATACTGTATATAAAATATATATTGCTCTGATGGTCATTTCGAAAAATCCTTTCTAAGCGAGCACCTAGAAGCCAAGAGGAAAATACGTGCCAAATTTCAAGTTGGTAGACTGTACCGTTCTGGAGAGAGAGTCGTATTTGGCTTTTGTGTATATAGATAACCATGCAATGGATTGAATTCGTGGAGGCACCTTACATTGCCGGAACATTCCCGCACGTGTACGCACGCACGGCTGAACCTATTATGGGGTTCTTGCCAGACTTCCCCTTCATTACAAATGCATCTGGTTCATACTGGCTTGGGGGAGGGCGGGGAGGCGGAAGCAGCAGCCACTGCCTGTTTAAAAAATTAAAACAGGCCATTGCCTGGCCTCAGATAACCCAGGCTTAGCTTTTGCTCATTCATCGTTCCCATGCTGACAACCCATTTAAGTGCTGTCTTGCCAGCTGAACATGCAGGAAAACTGTCCACATTCGCGCATCTCTGGTGGACGGAAAAGCGACGGTCACCTCTTTGCAACGTCCTTGGGCGTTTCCCCAGCATCGTTGGCAATATTGCAGTCGGCTTCCCTGTTAATCAGCCACTCTAAGATATGCAAATGACCTTGTCCAGCCGCTGGCGAGAGACAAAAGAAAACCATCAAATGCAAAAAAATGAAACTGAAAAGCAACGTATCAAAGCAGCTCTACGTAAAATGGATGTTCTCCTGACCTTTGTGCAGGAGGGTTGATCCTCGATCATCTCGTTCGTTCACGCTGATGATTTTATTTTCTAGTAGCATTCTTAAGGTGTCCAGGTCCCCTCTGAAGGCAGAATCATGCCCCGGAAAGCTTAAATCTTGGCAAAGAAGGCAAAAAGAAGAAATCGATGAATCTGAATCATCTCTAGGGAGATACACAATGATTGGATCGGTCTCCTGGAATACCGCCAATCAGCTGTTTCAGGTTGCGGGAATCATCACAGCCCATCGCTGCCTCCACGCGTCGCATATTTGCCCTCCGTGCATCGTGTTTTCAGCCTCCATACGCCCCGTTTTTGACCTCTATGCATCGCATTTTTGGCCGGTTCCAGGCGGCGGGGATTGCTACCGCCGATCCCCGCCACCTGGAAATGGCCAAAAATGCGGAGGCCAAAAACGGGGCGTGCGGAGGCCAAAAATGTGAAGTGTGCAGGCTGAAAAGTCGACGTATGGAGGCAGCGATCAGCGGCGATGTGCCGTGGTGATCCCTGCAGCCTGGAATGGATCTAAAATGGAATGTGCGGAGGCTGAAAACGCAGCATGCAGAGGCCGAAAATGGCCGAAGAGGGGAGCAGTGGGTGGGCGGGGTTTCGCCAACATTTGGTGTATAAGATGCACAGATATTTCCACCCACTTTTAGGGGAGGAGAAGTCCGTCTTATACTCCGAAAAGTACAGTAAACAAAACCTGCATCCTATGTATAGCAGGTTCTAGTAAAAGTGAGAACTGCATTTGAGAAGAGCAAAAAAACTATCCTCACAGTTTCTCTCCCTTCCAAGATTTTGCTCATCGTCACCTACTTTCTTCCTCGTCCAATGACTCTTCCTCCTCCTCCAGACTGTCCACATATACCAGGATGTTTTCCTTGTAGAACCTTTCAGCCAGATCCCGTGGGGTCTCACCGTGGTCATTCCGGGCTTTCAAGGAGTGGACCAACGTGGGCATTTTGCTCACCAAATATTTAAAGCAGTGCAGGTGGCCTTCCATGGCTGCCAGATGAACTACGACACAACAAGAAGGAGGAGTCTACGTTTTGAGCTAAACTGGACCGATCTTTCCCCAAGTTGACAACACAATCTGCCGGGAGTAATCCCAGTGCACAATAAGAGACTACATTGTAGAAATCTCTATAGAGCATGGGTCTCCAACCTTGACAACTTTAAGACTTGTGGACTTCAACTCCCAGAATTCCACAGCCAGCTGGCTGAGGAATTCTGGGAGTTGAAGTCCACAAGTTGTCAGCGTCTCAGCGCTGACATAGAAAAGGAAGGATGAAGTTTGAACTTTTGCCTGCTAAATCCCTTTGAAGTTTCGATCTCCTTGGAGATGAAGAGGGGAGGGGGAACATTCCTGCGAACTGACAGGAAAAGAAATCAGGAGAGTGACTTGGAAGATAGCCAATGAGAAGCAGAGAATTGGGGATCGGAAAGGGAGGGATTGGGGGGCAAAGGTCAGTACTGACCACGCAGAGTCATGATCCGGTTGCCGTACTCGAATAAAGAGAAAATTTCCTTAAAGATTGGCAGTTTGGAAAGTCATTTATTTTGAGATAGCACCGAAGCTTGACACAAGTCTTAAAGTTGCCAAGGTTGGACACCCCTGCTATAGAGTATCAGAAGGTGTTGTGTGCGTGTGACTGTGTGTCCAAAGGAGATGGGCAAGAAATACGAAGTATAAATAAATACCATTTTCCCCGAAATAAGCCTTATTTTTGGGGAGGTCTTATTATTTTGGGGCACATGACGCAACATGGGGCTCCTCTTGTCGTCTTACTTGATTTCCAGCTCTGCATTTAAATATTTTTGAGGAGGGCTTATTTTCAGGGGGAGGTTTATTTTAGTGCATGTGCTCAAAAGCCCGATTGGGCTTATTATCAGGGGATGTCTTATATTTCGGGGTAACAAGGTAGTCCGCTCTATTGTGGTCCCCATATCTGCCTATGGTTGTGAAAATTGGACCTTAAAAAAGCCAGACAGGAAGACAATTGACTTATCTGAGCTGGGGTCAAACAGAACTGATGAAACTTCTTGGATGAGGACTGAAATGTCTTCAAAGAAAACCCAAAAACAGGGGTCTCAACTCAAGGCCCACAGGCCAGATTTGACCCACAGGGTGCTTAGATCTGGCCCGCAGGACCACCCTGGAAACAGCGAAGGACCGACCTGTGGTGCCTCTGCCACCAAGGCCTCCCCCACCCTGAGATCTGTTTTCACTGGCAGAGGACTGCAGGAGGCCATCACAGCTGAAAACAGAGCTCACAAGGGTCGTGTGTGCCCCGCTGCCCCCCTGAGCTCTGTTTTTGCTGGCAGAGGGCTGCAGGAGGCTGTCACAGCCAAAAACAGAGCTCGGGAGCCCTTTTCGCTGGCAGAGCGCTCAGGCGCCCCCAACACGAGTGACTTCAGACTGGCCATGCCCACCCTGGCCATGCCCAGGTCAAACACAACCCTGATGCGGCCCTCAATGAAATCAAGTTTGATACCCCTGCCCAAGAAAGTCCAGCTCACTTTTCCCTCTACCATAATAACTTGATGCTTCCTCCGTTCCCTGGTTCACAGGGATGACTAGGATGTTTCTCCTGCCATACCTGGAAGGTTTCCATCTTTATCCGCATCGTCTAAAGTAGCTCCCCATCGGACAAGAAGCTGGAGGCAGCCTAGCCGGCCGTAGAAAGCAGCATTGTGTATAGGTTTCCAATCATTCTTGTCAGAAGCGTTGACATCCTGGTTGTTAAAATGGAAGGAAGCCAACATTTCAGAGGAAGTCGTGTGTGGTAGGTGAAAAGAATAAACACGGGAGCGTTAAAAGACTTGTGTTCCTTGGATTATACGGTTTAGCTGTTTCTTCCTCCTTGGTTTGAGGCACAAAGAAAAGTTGCCGTTCAGAAGATTTATTGCTCAAGCCAAGAATCTATGTCAACTAAAGTTTAACTGATGCTAGAGAAGGGTCGGAGAAATTCAAGAGGGGTGGAGCTTAGACCATTGGTGACAATGTAATGACTCTAGGCTGATGACTTGCTTAACTCCGTCCTTCAGTTCTGCCTGCCCTTCTCCTACATCTAGATGTCAACTCGCAAAGCATCCCTGGCCTGCTCTCAAGAAGAGCCTTGATAGTACAGTGGTCTAAGGCACCCTGTTATTAAGCTGGTTATTAAGACCAGATGCCTGCAATTACTGCAGGTTCGAATCTCGCCAAGGCTCAAGGTTGACTCAGCCTTCCATCCTTTCTAAGGTAGGTAAATTGAGGACCCAGTTGTGGGGGCAATAAGCTGACTTTGTATAAATATACAAAAGAATGAAGGCTATTGCTTAGCGCATTGTAAACCGCCCTGAGTCTCTGGAGAAGGGCGGCATATAAATCAAAAAAAAAAAAAAGTTGCCATAGGCCAGGGGGGGATGGGAAACTGACGAAATGGCACAGCAGCCAAAGATAGATGCACATTCCACGCTTATCACTCTCAAGGCTGTATCCCAGGGTTACCTACAGCAGCCAAGGGGGAGTGACCTCTACAACCTGTGAAACTGCTCCGTTGGCGAATGTGATTGATGACACACCCTGGGGGAAGGGGGAAAACAGGGTCATAATTGGAGCGTAGATTACATAGGGTCAGAGCTGGCTTCACTTGGGAACGTGCAGACATGAAGCTCCTAATAAATAACTGGATTTCTTTTGAAGCTTGGCTTGAGGTTTATGATTTAATTAGGGCATTCGTCGGAACCCTGACACTAGCAATATTATCTTCCTCCTTTCTTGCCTAGCTTCTTGGTGACCCTTGGTGACTTTTCTATGGGCATCGATTGAAATGAGCATCGATTCAAATTTAAATTCCACAGTAAATAAGGGCTTCTTCAAATTCTGTTCAGTACTCAGCAGAAATGGTGGCTATACTGGATCCGGTAACCACAGGAAAACCACAAATGAAAAACGTCTATGATGAAAATTAAATTCTTCCTTGAGAGCTGTTAGCCAGTAAAACTATTAACCATGAAGCCAGTGGTGGGATTCAGCCGGTTTGGGCTGGTTTGGGCAAACTGGTAGTTAAATTGCTGGCTGACCCTGTCCCTTCCTACCCCACCCCTTCCAGGAGTCCCAATGCACCCCATTTTGGCTCCCAGATAAGTGCAGGAAGGCCTCCTAGGCCCAAAACAGGGCGTGGGGGGAGTGGTGCGCCCCCCCTCCCCATGGCCTGTTTTCTCTCCACTTCCAAGAGGCTTCAGGGAGGCCTCCTAGGCCCAAAATGGGGCATGGGGGTGTGCGGCACCGCTCCCCCACGGCCTTTTTTTTGCTCCCAGAGGGGTGCAGGGAGGCCTACTAGGCCCAAAATGGGGCGCGGGGGGTGATGCATCCCCCCCGCAGCCTGTTTTTGTTCCCAGGGAGGTGCAGGAGGCCAAATGCTGCCTGTCACACCGCCTGGCCACGGCCATCCAGCCAGTCATTAGGGTAGAGAACCGGTTGTTAAATGATTTGAATCCCGCCATTGCATGAAGCTTTAGTTCTTATGTTTAGTATGTATTCCATTTCTCTCTCAAATGAGTGATTTCACAGCTCAGGCAATGATATGTGAGAATCACCTTGATGGATGGGGAGGGGAAGAGATACTGCCTAGGGAAAAATTTAGATAAAGAGAAGGGAAACCCGCAGTTGAATAACAGGCAGAGAAAAATAAAAACCATTCGCCCTAACTTATCAGGCAGTAAAGGAGACGGTGGGGGATTTCTGCTTTCAGGTTTTCAAGATATTGTTAAAATAGCCCTACGATAAAGTTGGGATCTTGCCGTGTTTCTCGCCTGGTACTTTGGAGGCTGACAACAGAACACAAATTATTCTTATGAATATAACCAGGGGGTTTGGCAGCCTTCGGGCGATCCTCTAGCCAAGGATCACCGGGGTTCGGCAAAACCCCAAATGCCACCCCTGGTTGGATCCCACCCCTCCCCTCCCAGGAGTCTCCACGCGGCCCGTTCATCATTCCAGGTAAGTGCAGGGACCATGCGGAGGATCTGGGAGGGCAAAAAATGGGCCTACCAGAGGTTCCAGAAGTCCAGAAACAGGCGTGTTTCTGGCCTCCAGAGGGCCTCCGGAGGCTAAAGGAAACTGTTTTCGCCCTCCCGGAGGTTCAAGGAAAGCCTCTGGAGCCTGGGGAGGGTGAAAAACACCCCCCACACACACACTGTGGTTCAGGTGGCCGTCTAGGCCATGCCACCATGGCCACACCCACCCAGCAATGGGGCAGCGAACCCGTTGCTAAAAGATCTGAAGCAGGGGTGAAATCCAGCAGGTTCTGTCAGGTTCTGGAGAACCGGTTGCGGAAATTTTGAGTAGTTCGGAGAACCGGCAAATACCACCTCTGGCTGGCCCCAGAGTAGGGTGGGAATGGAGATTTTGCAATATCCTTCTGCCAGGAGTGGGGTGGGAATGGAGATTTTGCAGTATCCTTCCCCTGCCACGGCCACCAAGCCACGCCCACAGAACCGGTAGTAAAAAAAAATTGAATTTCACCACTGATCTGAAGCCCACCCCTGAACATAACGTGGGAATGTGGAAAAGAAGAGGATGGAATTTGTCTCTAGCTTGACCTACTTATATAAGAAGAAGGGCTGCCACAGGGAGACAATCAAAAGTCAAGACCACAATCATACAATGTGCATATACGTAAAGGGCAGGGTTGCATGGCATGCTTGTGACTGCCTTCTTGAATGTTTTGACTGCCCCTGCAGATACCCCTGTGACACACACTGCAAACGTTATGGAAAAACTAGGAGCAAGGTGAATTATACCGATTCCTACTAGGAATAACATTAAAAAACAAGTTACATTTCTTACCACTCCGCTCCGGAGTATGGTTTGTAAGGTGAATGAGTGTCCGTGGGTCGCTGCAAGATGTGCTGGAGTACATCCTAAGTCATCTGGGACTCGTAGATTCACAGCATTGAGATTAAGGGCCTGGAAAATACATAAATATATCTCTTAAATATATGAGCTGGTGGGAACATCTAGAAATCCTTGGTTAACCTCAGAAAGCTAGACAGGCTAAAGGTAAAGGCAAAGGTTTCCCCGTCCAATCATATCCGACTCTAGGGAATAGTGCTCAACTGCTTCTAGCCGAAGGAGGCAGCATTGTCTGGAGACATTTTCTGTGGTCATGTGACCAGCATGATTATTCGCTGAGGTGCACGGAACGCTGCTACCTTCCCACCGAAGCGATACCTATTTATCTACTCGCATTTGCTTGTTTTCGAAGTGCTAGATGGGCAGGAGGTGGAGCAAGGAACGGGAGCTCACCCTGTCGCGCGATACGCCCCGTCGCGTGTGTTTAAATCAGTTTAAATTCATTGTAATGAAATGACTGTGAAAGTTGGACCATAAGGAAGGCTGAACGCCAAAGATTTGAGGCCTTTGAACTCTGTTGCTGGAGAAGACTCCTGTGAGTCTCTTGGACTGCAGGGCGATCAAACTGGTCAGTCCTAGAGGAGATCAACCCTGACAGCTCTTTAGAAGGCCAGAACCTGAAGAGGAAACTCAAATCCTTTGGCCACCTAATGAGAAGGAAGGACTCACTGGAGAAGAGCCTAATGCTGGGAAAGATTGAGGGCAAAAGAAGAAGGGGACGGCAGAGAACGAGGTGGCTGGATGGTTTAGGTTTAGGTTTAGGTTTATTTGATTTGTATACCGCCCTACTCCCGAAGGACTCAGGGCGGTGAACATCCAACAATAAAATACATAAATACAAAAAATTTAAAAACCAGATAAAATCAAATTAAATCATTTTGGTCCAGACAGATTAAAACACCCCAATAATTTAAAAACAGATTAAAATTTACATGTTTAAAAAGGGAAGAAATTAGGCCAAGCCCGCCTGATGGAATAAAAATGTCTTCACAGCACGGCGGAAGGAGCGCAGATCCGGGATCCTCCGTATCTCCGGGGGGAGCTCATTCCAGATGGTAGGTGCCCCCACAGAGAAGGCTCTCCCCCTGGGGGCCGCCAGTCGGCATTGTTTGGCCGACGGCACCCGGAGAAGTCCCTCTCTATGAGAGCATACTGGCCGGTGGGAGGCTATTGGTGGTAGTAGGCAGTCCCATAAATAACCAGGTCCTAAGCCATGGAGCGCTTTAAAGGTGGTAACCAGAACCTTGAAGCGCACCCGGAAGACCACCGGGAGCCAGTGCAGCTCGCGCAGGAGAGGTGTTACATGGGAGCGCCATGTCGCTCCCATTACCACCCGCGCGGCCGCACTCTGCGCCAGTTGGAGCCTCCGGGTGCTCCTCAAGGGGAGCCCCATGTAGAGAGCATTACAATAATCCAGGGGGGAGGTGACGAGGGCATGAGTGACCGTGCGTAACGAGTCCCGATCCAGAAAGGGACGCAACTGGCGAATCAGGCGAACCTGATAAAAAATCCTCCCGGTCACGGCCGTCAAGTGCTCTTCTAAAGACAGCCGTGAGTCCAGGAGGACGCCCAAGTTGCGAGCCCTCTCCGTGGGGGCCAATGATTCGCCCCCAATAGTCAGTGATGGCGTCAACTGACTATATCGGGACGTCGGAAACCACAGCCACTCGGTCTTGGATGGGTTGAGCCTGAGCCTGTTCCTCCCCATCCAGATCCATACGGCCTCCAGGCACCGGGACATCACTTCAAGGGCATCGTTGGGGTGATCCGGGGTGGAGATGTACAGCTGGGTGTCGTCAGTGTACTGATGGTACTCCACCCCGAAACCACGGATGATCTCGCCCAGCGGCTTCACATAAATGTTGAACAGGAGAGGCGAGAGGACCAACCCTTGCAGCACCCCACATATGGATGGAGTCACTGAAGCAGTCAGTGTGAGCTTAAATGGACTCCAGAGGATGGTAAAGGACAGGAAGGCCTGAAGGACCGTTGTCCATGGGGTTGCGATGGGTCGGACATGACTTCGCAACTAACAACAACAACATTGTAAACAAGGATTTTAAATTCCCTAGTTTAGAGATTATATCATATCGGTTTCTTCTTTTATGGAACTATTTTATAATGTAGTATTATATCTATTTTTTCATTTTCCAGTCTGGGTCTCAAACCCGGGCTGTGAGCTTTCCATCCTTATCCATTTTCAGTTGACGAGTAGCCCCCATTTTATAATTGAGGTCATCTTGCCAAATAAATAAATGAATTCATTCTGGGAATAATGAGAATGTACTTTTTGTTTTATTTTTAATGGCGTTAAAGCTTGCAAAGGAGAACTGCGAACAAAACTACTGAATTTCATTTAAGCTATTATCATAAAAACAAGAAAATTATATGGGGGAGGGAGGATGACCCAAATCCTAACAATAAAGAAATTATTGAAACTTCAGTCTCCATCAGTATAAACAGAGGTGGGTTTCAGCAGGTGCTGGCCAGTTCTGGAGAACAGGTAGCGGAAATTTTCGGAGTTCGGAGAACCAGTAAATACCACCTCTGACTGGCCCTACCGCCATCTATTCTCTGCCTCCCGAGTCCCAGCTGATCAGGAGGAAATGGGGATTTTGCAGTAACCATCCCCTGCCACATCTACTAAACCACACCCACCAAGCCATGCCACACCCACCAAGCCACACCCACATAACCAGTAGTAAAACATTTTGAAACTTACCACTGAGTATAAAGGATCAGAACTGATAAATTTAACTGAAGCAAAGTTTAAAATCTGGTACAGATCATCCTTCTGAAACTTCAACATCACCAGGCAAGATATATTTTTCATATACAGACAATCCGAAAATTTGGAGATTTAACTTAACATCATCTTCAAATCTTTGACCGTTAACTTCCTCCCAAGAACCTGGTTTATTACAGTATGGCTCTCACATCCAATGTTTCTCAACCTTGACAGCTTTAAGATGAGTGGACTTCAACTCCCAGAATTCCTTAGGCAAGATGCTGGCTGGGGCATACTGGGAGTTGAAGTCCACGTATGTGAAAGCTATACCAAGATGGAGAAACACTGGTCTAGCTGTGAAAAAATTCCTAGCTGACAGCAAGGAAATGTACAATACAATACGTCCTAAAAATCAACTTGGAACAAATATGTCCTTTCCAAATTCAGATTAACAGAGTTGGAAGGGACCTTATAGGTCATCTAGTCCAACCCCCCGCTCAAGCAGGAGACCCCCACACCATTTCTGACAAATGGCAGTCCAATCTTTTCTTGATGTGATGAAGCTCCCACAACTTCCAAAGGCAACTTCTGTTCCATTGGTTTATTGTTCTCACTGTCAAAAAGTTCCTCCTCATTTCTAGGTTGAATCTCTCCTTGATCAGTTTCCATCCATTATTCCTTGTCTGGCCTTCAGGTGCTTTGGAAAATAGGTTGACCCCCTTCCTCCTCTCTGTGGCAGCCCCTCAAATATTGGAAGACTGCTATCATGTCTCCCCTGGTCCTTCTCTTCACTAGATTAGCCATGCCCAGTTCCTGCGACCGTTCTTCATATGTTTTAGTCTCCAGTCCCCTAATCATCCTGGTTTTTAATTAAAACAATAAATTAATCCTTAAATTGAATTAAATGGAGACACTCACCTGCATGCAGGCATCCTGGCCTCGAATTGCGGCCAAATGAGCTGCGGTCCAGCCTCTTACAGTCACCGCAGTCTGATCAGCTCCATGCCAGAGAAGCCAATGGAGACACTAGGAAATAAGAAGACATGCTTTGTGGGAAGGAAAATCCATCTGGTTTAGTTCCAAGCTGGGAGAAAGACACTGGAAACACAGAGGCTGATTGGAAAGATGGTTTATTGATGAAGCAGAACCAGATGGGTTTGTGGTTCTGGGCAGCTGACAAAATGGAGTTGAGAGCGGGGGTGGGGTTTATACCTTCCCTTGGGCTTTGCACTTGAGCTTCCTGTTACTGTGCAAGAACATTCTATTGGCTGTTGTCAGATCCCTGTGAGGGGTCATGTAGGGGTTATATAGGGGTCATAGCTGGCTCTATAGGCAAAAGCGGAAATGCAAATCCTAGGTGTTTCTCTGAGCTAATCTTGTCAACCTTTGGCTTGTTGCTTATCTGAAGTTTCTGTCTCACCCAGTCTTTCTGGATGGATTACCAAATCTGCATTTCTAAAAGCTGGCCTCCTTAGTTTCTGCTTGGGGGCAAGGAGGCTGGGGCTGTTTCTGAATAGACTGGCCCAATCTTTCTTAATGGGCGCAAAATATCTGCTGGGGGCCATTAAGAAAGACTGAGTCTGCTTTCTGTTTTTTTAAAAAAGCATGTCTCTCCATTGTTGCTGTTAATTGCGAAGTCGTGTCTGACACATCACAACCCCATGGACAGGCATTTTACAGTTAGTTGCCAGAACTCTCATCTGCCAGGAATTCTGGTCTGTTTATACAATAAATTATTGGCAGGCATGTTTGATATTGTATTTGTCTGTGTGAGGACGGGGGACAGAACATCCGTTGTTTTTACACTACATTGCAGAGGTGGGTTTCAGCAGTCTTGGACAACCGGTAGCGGAAATTTTGAGTAGTTCGGAGAACCGGTAAATACCACCTCTGACTGGTCCCGCTCCTATCTAGTCTCTCCCTCCTGAGTCCCAGCTGATTGGGAGGAGATGGGAATTTTTTCAGTAACCTTCCCCTGGATTGAGGAGGGAATGGAAATTTTACAGTATCCTTCCCCTGGAGTGGGGTGGGAATGGAGATTTTACAGTATCCTTCCCCTGCCACGCCCACTAAGCCAGTCCCGCCAAGCTATGCCACTCCCACCAAGCCACACCCACAGAATCGATAGTAAAAAATTTTGAAACCCACCACTGCTACATTGGGGTCCCCAACCACACTCTACCGGGCCGTGGCCTATTTGCAACCGGGCCACGTGAGCACCGGGCTGGTGCGCAGGTGTCAACTCATTCACTCATCCATCCCTTCTTTTCAATTTGAAAGAATACAGCGCCATCTCGGATCGTGTCTTACCTCCAAACTCCCAGAATGGGCTGCCCAGTGCAGTGGGGTGAACTTATAGACTGGATCCACCTCATTGATGCTGACGCCGAAGGTCACCATTTCATCCAGTTGTTTGATGTTCCCAGTTTTGACGGCCTCGTGAATGGTTTTGCACTTCGGCTTTTTTGGCCGCTCTGCAGAAAAGCAAGAGGACACCAACTGAGAAAAACAGAATAATAGAGTTGGAAGGGACCTTGGAGGTCTTCTCGTCCAACCTCTTGCTCAAGCAGGAGACCCTACACAACTTCAGACAAATGGTTGTCCATGCTCTTTTTAAAAAACCTCCAGTTTTGGAGCACCTACAAAAGTGATGGCGAACTGTTTCGGCACCGAGTGCCCAAACTGGAAATTGTATGCATGGGCACGCGCCGGAGCGTCAGGAACCCAAAAATCAGCTGGCTGGTCCATGCATGCCTGTTTTTTGGCTTTTTATGGGCCATTTTCAGGCCAGTTTTCCGGCCATTTTCAGGCCCGTTTTTGGGGTTATTTTAAGGGCATTTGGGGGGCGTTTTGGGGGGCATTTTCAGGCTGTTTTTTGGGCCGTTTTGAGGCTGTTTTCAGGCCATTTTTTGTGTGGCCCTGTTGCAAACCGGTAGTAAAGGTAAGTAGAACCCACCCCTGCTTAACAACCCTGTCAAGAAAAGTTGTAAAATGGGGGTGAAATTCACTTAACAAATGTCTCACTTAGCAATAGAAATTATAAGGTAGGGTAGGGTGAAATGGGATGGGAAAAGGAGAGGAGAGGAGAGGAGAGGAGAGCAGAATTAGAAAAGAGAAGAGAATAATTAGAAAAGATAATAAAAAGAGAAGAGAAGAGAAGAGAGGAGAGGAGAGGAGAGGAGAGGAGAAGAGAAGAGAATAAACTTTTATTGTCACTTTTTCTATGTATATACTGGCACACATTCAAAATTCTGATGCCCACTCTTTTTTGGGCTCAATTGTGGTCAAGGACTACGGGTATATAATTCTTGCAGACCCACAAAGTTGGGGACAGTTCTGAGCTTACTCTAAAAATGTATTTTAACTCAAATTAGGCCAGAAAAAAAAACTGAATGCACCTCCTGGCCAGAAGGAAGGAAGGAAGGAAGGAAGGAAGGAAGGAAGGAAGGAAGGAAGGAAGGAAGGAAGGAAGGAGGGAAGGAAGGAAGGAGGGAGGGAGGGAGGGAAGGAAGGAAAGAAGGAAGGAAGGGGTAGGGAGAAAGAGGAGGCAAAGCAAATCTCACCTTTTTGGGAGGTGACAGCAGCAGGCATGGTCCAGGGTTTCCCCAAAATCTCACAGCTCTTCTCTTTTCCTCTCCCTTCCTTTCTTCTTAGTGCTTCTTTGGCTGCTAGGTTGCTATGGAAACCCTATACACTTCCTGCGATGCTCTGTCGGCCATGTTCTCTCCTGGCAGGTGGACTGGAAGCCTCCAGGCACGGAAGAGTTTAATCTTGAATAAAACAATTTGGACCTCAGTCTTGAGTCAAGCTACCAGGGATTCTTTTCCTTTTCCTTTAAAAACAATATCACCTGCATTCAGGGAAATGTGATTTAAATCATCATAATTATGATTTCCGGGTGAGCCTGTGCAGCTAAATTTGAAAAGCACAAATTTAGTCAACAGGGATTAATCTTAGTATGTTGTGAGAAGGAGATAACCGTACAGGTAGTCCTCGAAATACAACAGTTCATTTAGTAACCATTCGAAGTTACAACGGCACTGCAAAAAAAAAAAGACTTACGACCATTTTTCACACTTATGACCGTGGCAGCATCCCCATGGTCACGTGATCAAAATTCAGACGCTCAGCAACTGGCTCATATTTATGACGGTTGAGGTGTCCCAATGTCATGTGATACCCCCCCCTTTTGCGACCTTCTGACCAGCAAAGTCAATGAGGAAACCAGATTCATTTAACGACCGTGTTACTAATTGAAGAGTTGCAGCAATTCGCTTAGCGAATGTTGGCAAGAAGAGTCGTAAAATGGAGCGGAACTCGCTTCACAAATTTCTCGCTCAGCAACATAAATTGTTGGGCTCAACTGCGGTGGTACCAGTGGTGGGTTCCTCCCGGTTCGGCCCGGTTCGGCCGAGCCGGTAGCGGTGACAATATGACGTCACCAAACCAGTTCTCTTTGTTCGGGAGCTGGGCCCTCCCACCCCGTGTTATTCTTATCTTTTATTTGGCCCCGCCCCCAATCTATTCGCTGCCTCCCGAGTCCCAGCTGATTGGCTAGAAGGAAAAAAACTGTTTAAACTCTTGCCTCAAGGCTTCAAAGGGCCGCCCTACAGCTGATCAGTGTTAAAAGGCAGTGTGGTGGTAGATCAGTGCGCTCGAAAAACAAATGGGTAGACCGGAACGCTCCAAGAACAAATGGGTAGACCGGTACAGCTCTGCAAGCAGTTAAAAGCCTGGTAGACCAGTACCTCTGCTAAATCCTAAAGAATTGTCACATGACCATCAAACCACGCCCACAAAATAAGCCACGCCCAGAGGACCGCTTTTTAGAACAGGGGTCTCCAACCTTGGCAACTTTAAGACAGTCCACAAGTCTTAAAGTTGCCAAGGTTGGAGACCCCCTGGTTTTTTCGAAACCACCCTCCCAGACCAGTGTTTTTTCAACCTCGATAACTTTAGGATGTATTTGTATTTATTTGCATTTATTAGTTTGTCAAACATGTACAAGACAGCAGGTATAAATATAAACATGGATATGAACGAAAGAAATGAATACAAATAAATGGGGACAGTAGGACAGGGACTATCCTATATATATATATCATATATATATATATGATAGTCCTATATATACTGTATATATATATATATATGTAGATCCAGAAATGCCGTAAGAACTTAGTTTTAACAGTAGTTTGTCATGCACCACTGAATCAAAGGCTTTGCAGAAGTCTATGTATGGACTGCAGATACATGGCTGAGGGATTCTGGGAGCTGAGGTCCGCCAAGCTTAAAGTTGCCAAAGTTGGAGACCCCTACTTTATAACAATGGGCCCCAATCTTTTGGCCATCAGGGACTGGTTCCGTGGAGGGTTTTCAGCGGACCGAAGGGGTCATGGTTCCATGTGCTGCCGGCATCCCACGGATGGAGCTTCGCTTGTTGGCATGGCTGAGTTTCTAGCATGCCGTGGCTCGGTGCCAGTCCACGGACCAGGAGTCGGGGACCCCTGCTTTAGAAAACTAGATATGCTTGGCCTAAAGAAGGATTGGGGATGACATGCCAGCTACCTTCCACTAGTTGAGGGCCTGTCCCAGAGAAGAGAGGGTCAACTTATTCTCCATAGCATCCAAGGGCTGGTCAAGAAGCAATGGGTGGAAGCTCCTTAGAGGGAGATCCAATCTGGAAATAAGGAGGAATTTCCTGACGAGTGAGAACAATTAAGTCCTGGAGTTATGGGTACTCCATTGCTGGAGAAAAAAATTGGAGAGTCATTTGTCCGGGATGAAATAAGGCCTCTTGAATTAATCTTTAAACCCCTAAATTGGTTCCATCAGTTGAGAAAGGTATAGTTTTATTTAGGGCCGTGATGGCGAACCTATGGCACGCATGCCCGAAGTGGCACACGAAGCCATGTCGCCTGGCACGCACGGTGTCACCCGTTCCTCTTCTGGGTTTCTGGCACGCGTGTGCATGCGATGATCAACTGACCTTTAGGTGTGCGTGTCAGTGCCGGAAACTGGAAGACCTGGTCTTCCATTTTCTTGCGTAAGCATATGCACCTGCCAGCTGATCGTCATGTGTGCATGCGCACCAGTAACCAGAAGACTAGCTGGCCGGCATGCAAGTGCGTGCTGGAAACCGGAAGTTCATTTTCGGGGTGCGCACACTCCCTTGCAAAGGTTTGCCATCACTGATTTAGAGGCTTAAATTGTGGCAGGCCCCACACCCTGCCTCGGGTGAGGGGTAGGACTAAACTTCTGAGGTCCCTTCTAACCCTGATTCTATTAACATTCAACAAACAAGCAAACAAACAAACAAGTGCACCCCCATCCAATTCATTTAACTTCAAAGCTGTAATTCGTCTGCAAGGTCGCAAGTTGGACGTCCCCCAAACCCATCCATGAAATAAAAAGACTCCAAACAGGTATATGCTTCATTCTAATTTATTACACGAAATAAATATTAACATTTCTTAGTAATCTCTTCTACTATTTAGATCCAATAAACCCAACAAAAAAAAAGTTTAACCATGTTGCAAACGAGCAATCTTACATTTGTTCCTCTAAAATGAAAAAAAAAAAAAAAAAAAGGAAGGAAGGAAGGAAGGACTAAGCTTTTTGTGTACTGAGAAGTTGAAATTATGAGAATCTAGCTCGGATGTAAGGTGTGGGTAAGTATCCAAAGGGAACTATGTTATATTTGTTATGTAAGCCTACTTTTCTTTTTAAATGCCTAATGTGAATGCTTAAGAAAAGCAATTCAAGGTTTGCAAAAGAATTTTCATCAGACAGTAATTTTCTCCTTATCAAATTTTACAGCAAAAGAAGCCTTCCTTGTTATGTCTGCAAGAATCCTAGTTAAGCAAAAGCCTTGTGTGTAGGAGCGTGAGTTCTGTTGCCTTTAAAACACCCCCAAGGTTAAGTGTGGTGGTGTTGTTTAATTGGATGGTGTGCATAAACATTACACTCCGTAGATAGCAAAAATATCTTTTATTTATAATTTACATTTTCCACAAATGAAAAAAAAATGTACATTTTTTTTCTCTTACATATACAGTCTTATTCCTGTTAAATTTGTACGCCATCTACAGAACTTCCACACGATAGACACCTGACACGGTGCAGGCAATAAGAAATTCAAATACAAAAATGTATTTATTAACCAAGTCAGTAGCTGGGGCCCTGCCCCAGGCAAACATTTTATTCATATAAAAATTATTTGCATTCGTGAGTCAGTAGGACACAATAAGCATTTCTCTGTAATTAAAAAAAAAACCCACAGTTTAAACCGATTCAACCTTTAGAGGCTCTGTTTTAATTTCAGCAGATTCAGGTATATTCCCATCCGTGCAATCCGTAGCTTTTTCTTCCGGTTCTTCTTTAACTTTGGGGCTGTTACATGAGTCCTGTCCCTCTTGTTTGACAATATTCAACATAATATTTAGTGGGTTCTCCACAGGAGTCTTGCTTGGAGATGGGGTGGAATCAAATGATGAAGTCTGCAAGTCAAAATCAATATCATATTTGTAATGAAGCTTGACAGTGTTTTTTTTATGTGATAAAATTTAAATAAAGCAAAACGGTGCTTTCGTTATTTGGGTGGACTCTTTCATTACCTGTCCATGAGCAGAGTAAAATTTCTGTTGGAATACCAGGGATTTCATGATTTCATGTAGAAAAGGGGTCCTAGTCAACAGTGGTTCACAAGATGGCAAGGGTTTAAAAAAGCCACTTAAAATATAAGTCATTCTTAAATCTTAGCGATTTTTAAGAATCATCTCTAAAAACCATCTTCAAAAGGTGGTTCAGAGTCCCTGTATTTAGGTTTTTCATAATGGAGATTGCCTATTGTCAACCAGCTGTCTTTATGGTTAATTCAACACACGTAAAATCCAGATATTATTCGGACATTCTTCAATGTCAATCAGCCCTAGATAGAATCATCAACAGCAAGAAATATTTAGTCTGACCTGGAAAATATTGCTACTTCTTTACCGCTGTAGCCAAATATGCTCAGTAAGGATTAGTGATTCAAATAACAGCTTTTGCAGTCTCAACATATAAACCTACAGAAGATCAAAGCCAATTTTTGTTTACCTTTTGATAATCTTCGTAACACGATGGATGGTAGATCTACAAAAGGAAAGGGAACAGATCTTAGCTTATAAATACACAAAGACACACAAAGTATATTGCAAAACAATTACTCTTTCTGCAGGGGCATATCTCTCTCTCTGAACTATTTCTATAAAAAATAGGAAGTTGTAGCTGTTATTTTTCCTTTGCTGATATTTCATTCCATCTGATTCAATTTTCTTTGAACCTGTGGCAAATCTCACTGAAGTAGACTGATGGAAGGCAGCCCGAGCATGATTACAAGGGAATATTTTCAGGGATACCAATTCTTCAAATTTATAGAAATAACAATAGCGTATCAAGCCAAAATAGACATCTTTAAGCAGACTGCGTACACAAAGAGATGCAACAGTACCTTTTCCTCTACACGAATTGCATTTTTTAAGTGCCATTCCTCCTCTTCCTCATCCCAATATTGCTCAAACTGCTCCTGGCAGATTTCACAGCTCTGAAAGCAATCAAATATAGTTATACTTACAAAGCGTCATTTACATTTTCAGATGAGTAGCAGAACAATTTCAGTTTCCACCTAAGGCTAGCTGGCCCATGACAAATGCAGAAATGTGTAGGCTGGCATTACTACTGTAACTAGACAACTCCCTAACCTGTTGAGTCATTGTTTCAGATATATTTCCTTATGTAACTCATATAGCCTACACACACCCCTTTCACTTTTACCACATCTTCCACACTTGTGCACCCCAACACACCCTTCTCAGCCCGGAATAGGACAATCTGCCATAGCCAACTTTCTCAAGCAAACAAACTTCATTGCTAGTTTCCTGCTTGTAACTTT